ATTCTAAAATTTAGTGATTTAACAATTAAACTAATTTTGCCAAAAAATGAATTATAAACTAGCGTATTTTTTTTTTTTTTACTATTTATGGCATTTCTACAATGGAATCTGTATTAACAAACAGCGAACATAACCTTAAAATTTAAGGTATTTATTCTAAAATTTAGTGATTCTACAATTAAAAAAATGTTGACAGAAGGTTAACTCACTTATTTTTTTTCTTCTTTTGCTATTCATGGTGATTCTACAATGAAATTAATTTAACAAACGGCGAGTATAACCTCAAAATTTAATGCATTTTGTTCTAAAATTTAGTGATTCTACAAATAAAACTAACATTGACTGAATTATAAACTCAAGTATTTCTTTTCTATTCATGGTGATTCTACAATTGAATCTATTTTGACAAACGGGGAACATAACCTTAAAATTTAGGTCATTTACTGATTCAACTATTAAATTAAATGAATGAGAAGGTGAATTATAAACTCAAGTATTTCTTTCTTTTTTTTTGCTATTCATGGTGATTCTACAATTGAATTAATTTTAACAAATGGCGAACATTAAATAAAAAGGTCATTTTTTCTACAATGCCAATTCTACAATGTTGAAACAATATTAACGAATGTTGAATATAACCTCATAATTTATATTATTTAAGGTGATTCTGCAATAAAATTTTTTTACAATTACATTTTGTTTACAAATGGCAAACAAAGGCTTGACAAATAGGTTATTTAGGCTCATTCTACAATAGAACTAATGCTGACGAAAGGCGGAAAGAACCTTAGGATTTATACTATTTAAGGTGATTCTGCAATGGAATCCTTTTAAAATCATTTTCAAAAAAGGCGAACCTTGTTTACGTAAAATTTAGTGCTTTCACAATATAATCAACGTTGATAAAAGGCGAATATATCCTTAATATTTCTACTAATTAGGGTGATTCTACAATGGAATTAATTTTCAAAAAAAACCTAATTTTAATATTTATACTAATTAGAGTTCATTCTAAAATGGAATTTATTTTATCAAAAGGCGAACATAACCTTAAGATTTATGTCGTTTAAGGTCATTCTACAATCGAATTCATTTTCACAAAAGACAAATACAATCTTGCAAATTAGGTAATTTAGGCTCATTCTACAATAGAATTAATGTTGACAAAAATCAATATAACATTACGATTTATACTAATTACGCTAATTCTACAATGAAAATTTCTTTTAAAAATTAAAATTAGATTTATTCTCATATTTTTTGAATAATTTAAAAAAAAATCGAGCATAACCTTAAAATTTAAATTTCCTATAAAAATTTGTACTATAATACAAAATTGAAGAAAGAAAACAAGAATGTTAACCAGAACAAACATTTTCCGCAAAGTTTGTTTATTGTTATCGTAGTGGGAAAAAAAATTACTTCTATTACGAAATACAGAAAGTGAGGAGAGGAAAAAAGAAAAAACACTTCGATTTACATAATATTGACAATAATCAAACTGACTATATGGTAATAAAATTTGAATATTCAATTAGAATTTTTATTTTTATATTATATATTTATAGGATATAGTGTGCATTGATAATTTTATTTGTACCAGAAGTTAATATAATATTGGAAACTTCCCATGTAGCGATGGAGTGTTTCATTATTATTATTATCTTCTTTCTTCTTCCTATTCTTACAATTAGTCTAATCAGCTGATGCAATAACGGTGCGCGCGCATTATTATATACATATATGTATATTGGATCGCGCTCCCCTTAACATCAGCGCAGCGTTGGCTCTAAATCCGTTATGTCTGTTATTAACTGCTTTGTAAGTTAATGATAATTACATAACGCCTAAAGTACATAAACATATGATACACTATAGTAAACGAAAAAAAAATGTACACGAGCATGAGAAGTAAAGCGTGCGAATTTGGTGCGCACTTTACGTCCAATATATGTTGTTGATCTATATATCTCTCTAGAAAACTAATTATGAAACAAATTAGCTCTTCTTCACTTTATCGTATTTTTATTTCACTCTTAAAAAAAAAAAAAAAAAAAAAAAAAATTAAAATTAAAAAAAAAATTTTTTTTTATTAAAAAAAAATCCGCATTTTTATTTGAAACAAAAAGATTTACTCAGGGTTGCCACAAAACTTTAATTTTGTTTTTTTCTGACATTTCCCTCATTACCAGATAAAATTTTAATGTTTTAATCCAATTTTTAAAAGAAAATTTTTTTAAAATTCAATTATTTAAATACGAAAATAAATAATTTATTCAATAATTGAATATTTATCAAAATTCAATTATTTTTTTACGAAGAATTTTTATCAAAATTGAAAAAAATAATTGAATTCTTTCGACGAATTCTAATAAACATTTTAAAAATAAATGCCATTTTCTATTATTTTATTTTAAATTATATTTAAAAAAATAATTTAAAATTCTGCGATAAGTTTTGTTATTAAAAATAATTGAATTCTTGCAACGAACTTTATTAAAAAATTTTTTTAAAAAAATTGAATTCCTGTGAAGAATTAAATTTTTTTGAAAATAATTGAATTCCGGAGAAAAATATTATTATTTATGAAAGTAATTTAATTTCTTGTGAAGAATTTTATTCAAATTTTGATAAATAATTGAATTCTTTTGGAATTTTTTTAAAAACTTTTTCAAAAATAATTAAATTTTATCGAAAAATTTCATTAAAAAAAAAATTGAAAATAATTGAAATCTGACAAAGAAATAAAAAATTTTTTTAAATAATTGAATTCCTGTGAAAATGTTTATTTTTGAAAAGAATTAAATTTTTGGGAAGAATTTTTATTAAAATTTCATAAATAATTGAATTGCTTCGAAGAAATTTTATTTTTTAACGAAAATAATTGAATTGTTTCGAAGATTTTTATAAACATTTTTATCAATAATTGTATTCCTAGGAAGAATGTTATATTTTACGAAAATAATTGTATTCAATGATCAATTTTATTATAATTTCTTTAAATTTATAAACTATTTTTTTCAAACTTTTTTAAATAATTGAATTTTTGAAAAAAAAAATATTATTATTTATGAAAATAATTGATTTCTTACGAAGAATTTTTGTTTAAATTTTTTTTAAATAATTGAACTCCCATTAAAAAATGTATTAACTTTTAAAAATAATTTAATTCTTGAGAAGAAATGTATTAAAAATAACTAAATTATTGTATAGGAAAATTGTATTAAAATTTGAATTTTTATAACCAAATCTTAAAGAATTTTGTCAAAAATTTTTTTTAAATAATAGAATTTTTAAAAGAATTTTATTTAAATTTTGCTAAATAATTGAACTTCTCAGAATTATTTTTTTCAATTCTGTGAATATATTTGAATTCTTTGGAAAAAATAAAAAAATAAATGAATTGGTGCGAAGAAATTTATAAAAAATATTGTTAATTAATTGAATTCCTGTGAAATTTATATTAAAATTTTTTTGTTTCAATAATAGAATTCTTTTGAAAAATTTTATATTAAAAATAGAGATTTTAAAAATATATACATATGACAAATAATTGAAATGGAGAAAATTTTTGAAAATAATTGAAATTTTGCCAAGAATTTTATTAAATTTTCTTTAAAATAATTGAATTTCGGAGAAGAATTTTATTATTTATAATGATAATTGAAATTTTGAAAAGAGAATTTAAAAAAATTTTTGAACATATAATTGAATTTAAGTGAAAGAAGTTTATCAACTTTTGAAAATAATTGAATTGAATTGAATAATAATAATTGAATTGAATTTCTCTAACCAGCTTTTTTCAAAAATTTCTATTTAAATTCATTAAAAATTGATATTTTCTAAAATTTCAAATGGAATTTAAAGTTCATCTATTTATGAAGATTGAAAATGCAAAAATTCAGATTTTTTTCAAAATTATTCATTAAATATATTAATTCTTCAATAATTTTGTTAGAAAAATTTTTTTTTTATTTATTTTTTTTTTCATAAAAGTAATTGTCGGCTACTGGAAAAATTGTGTAAGCTTTTATATATATATATATATATATATATATATATATATATATATATATATATATATATATATATATATATATATATACACAAAAGAGGCAAGTTTAGATGCAGTTAATTTATATATCTTTCGAGAATAATTATCATATATTAATTAGAATTCGTGCGTGTGTAACAAGATTAAGGTATACACGTATGTATGTAATTTTAATTAACATTCATTTTTCTCTGTTTTGCATACGCGAATATTTTTCTTTTTTTTTCAACGATTCTTTATTTATACGTGTACTTTAAAGGTAGGCAATAAGTTTCTAAAATATATGTAAAAATTTTTTTTTCAAATATTTTAATTAACTGTTAAATTAAAATTGAAATTCTAAAAATTTACAAAATTATTCTAAAACAAAGTTGAAGATTTGTTCATTTTTTTATTAATTAATTAATTTAATAACAACGTTAAAATTATTATTAGTACTATTAATAATAAAAATATAATTATTATTATTAATAATAAAAATATTATTATTATTATTATTATTATTATTATTATTATTATTAATAATAAAAATATTATTATTAATATTATTATTATTATTATTATTATTATTATTATTAATAATAAAATATTATTATTATCAGGATAAGGGGCCCCAAGGTGGGCACCCATTAAGTGACAAATAATGCACAAGAATTACCCTAGGGTTGCCACCTTGGGGCCCTCTACCATCATTATTATTATTATTATTATTATTTTTATTTTTAATAATTAAATTTTTAATTTTTAATAATTATTATTATTTTGAAAACGTCATCAAACCGAAAAGACGCAGCATTTGACTGTATCTTAGGCAACAAACATTAAGTCGAATATTCTTCTAAAATTGAAAACAAATTTTTCAAAAATCCCTAAATTAGAAAAATAATAATAAAATAGAAATTAATTATTTAGTTATTTTTGAAAGAATTATTTATTTTTTTTGCAGAATGTCAAAGGAATACGCCAAGAAGTCCTCGTGCCAGTCGAAATGAAGGCGGACTCGAATTTGAATGTCCGGAGGAATTTGGTTACTATCCACATCCAAGGGATTGTACACAGTATTACGTTTGTGTCTTTGGTGGAGCTCTACTCGAGTCATGCACTGGTGGTTTAATGTACAGGTAAGAATTAATAATTTAAAAAAAAAAATTAAAATAAGCATTTAAAACAATTTCCTCGACAATTTATATAAAAACTCTTCACATACAATCATCCAATAATTTCTTCTTTAAATTCTGAATTTTCTGATTTTTCTGATTTTTCTGAATTTTCTGAATTTTCTGAATTTTAATGAAGAGTATATAATAGTGTTGATTAGAGACAAGTCTTTAGTAGCAGGAGATAATTATCCCCATGTTTGTTCGGTAGTCAAATTCTTAATTACAATTCGAATCGTGTATCTATTATCTTAAATTGTTAATTTTATCCTACGGAAATCGCAACATGCAATTAGATGTGATAGTAATAAAAATTGAATAATATACACTTGACTTGGATATAGTATGGGGGGGGGTATTATTTTTCAGATAACGTGAATAGATTATAGGTGCGCAATGAATGAATAACATTTTAACATAAGGGAATATTGAGCACGAGACCCTGACAGTCGACATCATTAGTCTTCGCGAGGAGAAAGACAAACACTCCGAGAGAGGAATGTGAATCATCCGTTTTACGATTTACATAATCGTTGTGTGTTGATATGTTGGCATGCTGATCAACTGACACACGATGAAAAGACAACCTCGTCCTAGAATTTCAATAATTATTTCAACAATTTCATTTTATCGTTAATTGAAAATTTATCGATGGTTTCCCTTTCTTTAACTTTACTTTTTTTAATTCTTTTTTTTTTTCCTTTTCTTGTTCAAAATATCTTTCATCAATTTTGTTCAAAATTTTTTTTCAATGTTCAAAATAAACTTTCTAAACGTGATTTTTTTTTTAAAATCAGGGAATTCGCTTGAAATGCATTACTAGGAAGTTTTTGGGGTTGGTGTTTACGAATCTCAGATTTTGCACTCATCTACTAAAACCTACTATTTATTACTTTTTTTACGTTATGATACTATTTGGATACTTTTTTTTAGATTTCAGCCACTAAAAGCTACTATTTCTAGTTTTTTTTAGAATTTACTTTAAATTCGTTAATAGTTAATACTAGAAATAAAAAAACTATTCTCAAAAATTGTAATCAATCTCTTTAAAACTATTCAATTATTTAAAAAAAAAAAATTCGAAATTCATTTCTAATATCTTATGTATTTTCATTAAAAGCAAAAGAATTCAATTGTAAAAAAATTCATAAAATTCATCCAAAATTCAATTATTTTCATAAATAATAAAATTTCCACAGGAATTCAATTACTTTAGAATAGAATTTAAAAAAAAAAATTCGAAAAAATAAAATTAATCAATTATTTAACAAAATTCTTATACAATTCTTCACAATAATTCAATTATTTTCACTAATAATAACTTTTTTCATGGAAATATTCAATTTTTGAAAAAAAATTTTGATAAATTTTTAAGCAAGAATTCAATTATTTTCATAAACAATAAAACTCATCGAGGAATTTCAATTATTTTCCACACTATTTTAAATTAATTAATCGAAAAATTCAATTATTTTCACAAATTAAGTTTTCTGCAAGAATTCAATTATTTAAAATAAAATTTCCATAATATTTATTATATTTCGAAATAATAAATTCTTTAAAACAATTTTTATAAAATCCTTCTGAAGAATTTAATTATTTTCAAAAATAAAAAAATTTTTCACTGAAATTCAATTATTTTTAAACATTTTAATAAAATTTTTCTTAGGAATTCAATTATTTCTGAAAATTTTAGTAAAATTCTTTGCAACTATTCAATTATTTTCATAAATTATTGCTCAAAAAATATAATTATTCCTCCAAATTTTATTTCAATTCATCAAAAAAATCAATTATTTAGAAAAATTTAGAAAAAATTTCAATTCTTTGGAAAAATTCAATTTTTTACAAAAATATTAGAATTTTTCACAGGAATTCAATTATTTTCAAATATTTTAATAAAATTGTTCGAAAGAAATTAATTATTTTAAATAAAATTTTAATAAAATTTTTTTTTGAAATAATTCAATTATTCTTTTAGATTTCAATAAAATTATTCACAAGAATTTAATTATTCTCATAAATAACAATATATTCATCACAAGAATTCAATTATTTTCATAAATAACAATATTTATCACAAGAATTCAATTATTCTTAAAAGCTAATAAATTTCTTCTTGGAAATTCAATTATTTTTAAAAATTCTAATAAAATTTTTCGCAATAATTCAATTATTTTCATGAATAATAAAAGTTTTCTCAGGAATTCAATTATTTTTTGATAATTTTAATAAAATTCTTTGCAAAATTCAATTATTTTCATAAATAATAATAAAATTCATCACAGGATTTCAATTATTTTTAGTACAATTTGACAGGAATTGCTCCATAAAAATGTAATTATTCTTAAAAATTAAATTTCAATTCCTCAAAAAAATCAATTATTTACAAAAATATTAGAATTTTTCACAGAAATTCAATTATTTTCAAATATTTTTATGAAATTGTTTTAAGAAAATCAATTATTTTAAATAATTCTTCGAAACAATTCAATTATGATGATAAATGACAAAATTATTCTCTAAATTCAATTATTTTGTGGTATTTGAATAAAATTCTTTGCGAAATTCAATTATTTTCATAAATGACAATATTCATCACCAGAATTTAATTATTTTTAAAAGTAATTAATTTTTTCTTTTGAAATTCAATTATTTAAAGAAATTCTAATAAAATCGTTCGCAAGAATTCAATTATTTTCAAAAATAATAAAATTTTACACAGAAATTCAATTCTTTTTAAACATTTTATTAAATTCATTTATTTTCATAAATAGTAAAATTCTTCTCAGGAATTCAATTATTTTTATAAACAATAAAATTCATCGCAGGATTTCAATTATTTTTGAAAATTTTAATAAAATTCTTTGCAAAATTCAATTATTTTCATAAATAATAATAAAATTCATCACAGGATTTCAATTATTTTTAGTACAATTTGACAGGAATTGCTCCATAAAAATGTAATTATTTAAAAAAAATTAATTTCAATTTCTCGAAAAAATTAATTATTTAAAAAAAATAAAAATCTTTGTAGGAATTCAATTACTTAATAAAATTGTTTCAAAAAACTCAATTATTTAAAATACAATTTTAATAAAATTTTTTGAAATAATTCAATAATTCTTTTAGATATTAATAAAATTCCTCTGAAGAATTGAAATATTTACATAAATAATTCTTCGAAAAAATTCAATTATGTCGATAAATAAGAAAATAATTCACGTAAATTCAATTCTTTTGAGTCGTTTTAATAAAACTCTTTGCAAAATTCAATTATTTTTATAAATAACAATATTGAACTTAAGAATTCAATTATTTTTAAAAGTAATAATTTTTGTCTTGAAAATTCAATTATTTAAAAAAATTCTAATAAAATCGTTGGCAAGAATTCAATTATTTTCATAAATAACAAAATGCTTTTTAAGAATTCAATTATTTTCAAAAAAAAAAAAAATAATAAAATGACACAGAGACATTAAATTATTTTCAAGAATTTTAATAGAATTCTTTGTAAAATTTAATTATTTTTAAAAACTTTTCGCAATTCAATGCTTTTCAATATTTACTATTTTCATAAAATTTCCAAACAGAATTCAATTATTTAAAAAATTTTTTGTAAAAATCTTTCTAAGAATTGAACTCTTTTCATGAATAATAAAAATTTCTCAGGAATTCAATTATTTAAATTAGAATTTGCACAAAAATTAGTCGAAAGAAATGTGAATTATTTAAGGGGATGTCAAAGTCGATGCGATTTTCCCATTGAAGCTCAATGCAAAAATCCAATCGACTTTGACATCCCCTTAAAAGTTTTTCTAAAATTCTTCGCAAGAATTAAATAATTTTTATAAATATTTAAATTCTTTGATGAATAATAAAAATCGTTGCAGGAATTCAATTTATTAGCAGGATGAGATAGAAATAAATATTTTTGATGAAAATTAGGAAAAAATTCAGGAAAATAAAATATAGAATGGAATTCTTGTCAGTTTTGTGAAGTGACTAAAACAAATTTTTTTGGTCGTCAAGTTTAATTTTTCGATAGCTACTTTTTTACTACCTACTTTTTTTTAGTTTGAAAAATACTTTTTTAAAATTAATTATCTAGTGCGAAGTCTAGGATTTTCAAAATTCAAAATGGTGGCAATATTTTTTTAAAAATCATCTAATTCGCTTGAAATTCATAACTTGGAGGTTTTTAAGGGCGTTGATTATGAATTTAATATCGGATTTTTAGAATTCAAAATGGCGGATCAAATATGGCGGACGTTTTTTTTTTTTTTTTTTTTTTTGAAAGATTAACGTATTAGCTAGAAACTTATTACTCGGGGGGTTTTTGAAGTCTGATTACGAATCTACTTTCGGATTTTCAAAATTCAATATGTCGGATGGAATATGGCGGCAATATTTTTTTTTTAAATCAATGAATTCGCTTGGAAATCGTTACTCGAGTGTTTTCGAGGTCGCTGATTACAAATCTATTATTAGATTCAGAAAAAATTATTGTCAAAGTGTTATTATATATAGAGCCAAAAAATATGTCGAGACAACTATCAATTTGACAAAATTGCTCATAAATCAAGTTAAATGTCGATAATTAAATTGATCAGAAATCAATCAAGTGTCTTTTGCGCGAATAAGATTTATTCGTGACTTGCGTAAGCTAAGCGTCTAAACGAAACATAACAAGTAGAAACGTTTTACTATACGATTTATTATTAATCGGCTACGCGAAAGTTTTTGCACTATATAGTAAAGTGCAAAATACATTTCAAATGCGGTCGTTACATGTTTATATTTATTTGTATATTTATATATCTATATATTTATAAAAGGGTGTTGAACGTTAATCACACACTTGGTGATTAAATAAAAAATTGAAAATCCATTGACCACGCCTTAATCTTGCGATCGAGTTCGATAAACCTGCGAAAGTGACGACGACAACAAACGACGAAAACAATTTTTAAACTAAACCGCTCAACTTATATACACAGACATACAGAAAGTTATATAGTAATGCGATCCAATTAAGGATAACTGCCAGACAACACCAAATGCGGCGAAACCACACCGACATCATCGCTGCTCCCCGCATATGCATTTGATTTATTTCGGACTATGAACTAAAAGAAAAAAAGAAGAAAAAAAAAAAGGATTCACCGAGACCCAAAAACATAACATCCCATGAAACCTCGTTACATTCATGTTTTACTATCCCCATAACTTTCCTTGAATAAAAGTTGAAGAAAAAATTCATTTATGGTTATTTCCTTGTGCCACTATACTTGAAAATCCATTATTTTCTTCAATGAATTATGCAGAGAGAGAGAGAGAGAGAAAGAGAGGGGAAAAATAAAATATATTTTCTACATTTTACGATACACTGAAAAATAAAATACGTTAATTCAAAATCCACACAAATATATATATTTATTTTTTACTATTTTATAAATATCAAAATAATATTTATTCTTTTTCGTTTTCTCTATAAAGGGAGATAATTAACATATTTTTTAATTTACAACCTGTTTCATTATAAAATTATGTTTATTATATATGCAATAGAAGGTAAATTAGTACCTCATTCAAAGATAATTTTATGAAAAATATTTTTTTTCAGTAGTCTCTGCTCTTTTTTTCGTTTGCTAGACTACGAGGGAAAATTTATGGGAACAATAAATCAGAAATGGAAATTAAATCACCAGAAAATGGAAAAGGAGAGATGGGAGTAAAAAAAAATGAAATACCGCATAAATCAGAAAATTTTTAAAGTAATAGAGTTAAGAAATATGTAATAATAAAATTAAGATTCATTTGACTTAACCATTTTTTTTTAAATTTCAGCCACGAGTTGCAGACTTGCGATTGGCCACGGAACGTAGGCTGCCCAGAACAAAATTTACCAAAAGATGACATTGAAGATCCTCTTTTGGAACGGTGAGAAATTCATGATTTTATACTAACAATTAGAGAAAATGGGATATAGGGTACCTAATATAGAACCTAAAATGGTGCCTAATACGGAAGTTTAAATAGTACCTAAAAATACATAATGACGCCCCTTAGTACCTAATGGTACCTAATAGTACCTAATGGTACCTAATGGTACCTAACAGTACCTAATAGTACATAATTGTACATAATTGTACCTAATTGTACTTAATTGTACCTAATTGTATTTAATTGTACCTAATGGTACATAATAGTACATAATTGAACCTAATTGTACCTAATAGTACATAATAGTACATAATAGAACCTAATAGTACCCAACAGTACTTAATAGTACCTAATTGTACTTAATTTTACCTAATTGTACCTAATTATACTTAATTTTACCTAATAGTACCTAATAGTACATAATAGAACCTAATAGTACCTAACAGTACTTAATTGTACTTAATAGTACCTAATAGTTCCTAATAGTACCTAACACTAATGGTACCGAACCAAATAAGGTACGTAATGATTCCTAAATAGCACCTAATAGTACTTATTAATACATAATAGTACTTATTAATATCTAATATTACTCATTAGTACCTAATAATACTTATTAGTATGTAATAGTACTTATTAGTACCTAATAGTACTTATTAGTACCTAATAGTACTTATTAGTACCTAATAGTACTTATTAGTACCTAATAGTACTTATTTGTACCTAATAATACTTATTATTACATAATAGTACTTATTAGTACCTAATAGTACCTATTATTATACATACAAGTAAATAATTGTACCTAACACTAATTGTACCGAACTAAATAAGGTACGTAATGATACCTAAATAGTACCTAATTAGTATGTGATAGTACCTAATAATATTCACAAAAGTAAATAATTGTACCTAACACTAACAGTACCGAACCTAATAAGGTACGTAATGGTACCTAAAAATACTTAATTAGGTACCTAATTTAATCTAAGAAAAAGCCTTATATGATACATAGAAAAAACCTAATAAGCTAACATTCCCTAAAAAATAATATTTCTTAAAAATGTACCTAATAGTACCTAATAATGCCTAATAATAACTAATATAATTCATCTAATAATAATTTCTGAGGTAGCTAACAGTAACCACTAAACCAGATAATAGTACTTAAAATAGAATTACAGTAAATAATACAGAGACTTAATATGGTACCTAATAAGATAGGCAAAAATATCTAATAAGGAACTAATAGTTCCTAAAAAACTTAATAATTTCTATTAATGCTACTAATAGTATTAGTATACCTAATAGTATATCTGATGTAGCATTCGGTACCTTATAGTATATAATAATGAAACTATATAGTACGTTATATTAATTAATACGAAACCTATAATATGGTACCAACTAGTAACTAAAAAGAAACCTAAAAGAACCGACTAAGGAACCTAATTGTTCCTAAAAAAGGTACGTAGTTAAGTATCTAAAAGTACCTACTTAAGAACCCAAAAATAAGGTACCTAATTAAGTACCTAAAACTACCTATTAAATTTTTCAATAGTTTTTAATAAGGTACCTAATATATAGTACTGAAAAGTTACTAATAAAGTACTTAAATACGATCCTAATGCAGTACCTGAAGAGGTACCTAATATAGTATATAAAGAGAAACCTAATATAGCAGCTTAAGAGGAACCTAATATAGTACATAATAATATTGTACCTTAAGAGGATTTTACTATAGTACCTAATAGTTGTTAATTCAGCACTTAAAAAGGTACCTAATATTTTTAATATTAAGTTTTCTAATATTATTTAATATTCCCAATAGTTCCTAATACATTACCTGAAGACGATCCTAATACAGTACCTAAAGAGGAACCTAATGTAGTACCTAAGGAGTAATATAATATCGTATTTTAAGAGGAACCTACTATAGTACCTAATTGTTCTTAATTCATCACCTAAAAAGGAACCTAATATTTTTAATATTATGTTTTCTAATGTTTTCTAATATTCCAAATAGTTCCTAATACAGTACTTTTGAAGGAAACTAATATAGTACTTAATAATTTCATATGCAGTACATAAGAAGGAACCTAATATATTTTCTAATTGTTTCCCATACAGTACCTGATAAAGAACAAAATATGGTACCTTATTTTGTAAAAACGTAAAAAAATTATATGGTACGTTATATATTACCTAACACGAAACTTATATGGTACTTAATAGAACTTTACAAGGAACCTAAAAATATCTTAAAAGGGTCCTAAAATAGGAACTTAATATCGTTCCCACTAGTACCTAATAATATTATGTAACTTAGAGTACCTAGTAAGGTTGCGAATAGTATTGAATATTACTGAATATTATAGCTAATAATAACTAATGTAGAACATATAGGAGAACCTTATATGGTTAGATAGTACCTAATAGTACCTAATTACAGTAATAGGATCTATGAAGTTTTCTAGTAGTACCTAATATTGTAGTAGTACCTAATATCAAGAAGTATATAATATGGTATCAAATAGTGACTAATAGGTATCAAATAGTACCTGATAGGTTATATATTATAGGATCGCATATGGTACCTAAAAGTATTGGGTAATATTTATAATTATATTATTCATAATATAATTATATTAAATTATTATAATATAATTATATTAAATTTTTATAATATAATATTTATTTGTAATTGTACCTAATGAGGTACCTAATACAATAAATGATTATAGTAAATAACGAACCCAATGTGATAACTAATATGAAACCTACTATGGAACCTGATATGGTGCAATAAATACTTTTAATTCTGTTAATTTTAGATCATTATTTAGGTACTTACAAGTAATTTAAACAATATAATTATTAAACTTGCGACTACAGTTTAGGTACCCAATTAGATATTTATATATTCTGTTAAGAATTTTTTTTTCAATAATTTTCTTCTGTTAAAGCTACTATACTTAATTCACGAGTGTGAATTAAGTAGAATACGTACTTTATATCACTGGCGGACCAATTTTGTGTTTGTTTCACTGAAAAAATGTATTCACAGTAGAGAAGATCAATTTTGTCGAGACAATCAGTATATATGTACGCATTGTATATACATATATGTGTATAATATGCAATGCCTTGTCTGACTGACATAAAACGACTTTTTCCACTGCGCGCATCACATATACACAATTTAATAATTACTTATGTTTATTTCGTAAGACAATAATACGTTCTTAACAATAATTTGCGATTCATACTTTGTTTCTAATGATACATCATTTACGGTATCAATATAGCATTTATAATTGATAATAACTTCCTGTATATATATATATGTACATATATGTATATATTGTATATGAATATGAAATTGCACGTAACTATGTAATTTACTAGATAAAGGTTAAGCAAGGTGTAAATCACTTTCACAGTTAGCAATACAATTTATGTAATGTGCCCGCCGAGAATCTCTTTACGGATAATCTGGCTTATACATAGGAGAGAAGTTTCACGATTTTCCACAAATTACAAATAGCTTACTAATATGTCCCTCTCTCTCTCACTCTCTCTTTAAGAATATTTGTACTTGCCGATTAAGTTGAAATGTACCGAGGCCACACACGCAGAGGCACTTAACTATTACATTCATTCACCACGGATTATCTATTTTATTAAAATGTAGATAGTCAATCTTTTTCGTTGTTGTTGTTATTATTATATCATTTTATTATAATTAGTGTATTGAATAATATTCGCAAAGAAAAAAGAAGACTATTGCGCAGTCGTTTCACACTTCTGCGTAGCTATATCGACTCTATAGATCTACTGCGCAGCTCTAACTACTCTATAGATCTACTGCGCAGCTGTACTTACTCTGTAGGTCTACTGCCCAGCTGTAATTACTCTGTAGATCTACTGCGCAGCTCTATCTACTCTATAGATCTACTGCGCATCTCTATCTACTCTATAGATCTACTGCGCATCTCTATCTACTCTATAGATCTACTGCGCAGCTGTACTTACTCTGTAGATCTACTGTGCAGCTGTATATATTCTATAGATCTACTGCGCATCTCTACCTACTCTGTAGATCCACTGCACAGCCCTACCTACTCAATAGACACATTGCGCAGTTATATCTACTCTATAGATCTACTGCGCAGATCTACCTTGGCTAAGAATCTCCTGCGCAGCTATAATTACTCTATAGATCTACTGCGCAGCTTTATATAACCTAAAAGATCTCCTGTGCACCTACACATACTCTACAGATACACTGCCCAGGTCTATTTGTTTTCTAGATCCACTGAAAACCAGAACTTTCATTGTAGATTACCTATAGAGTTGTATTAAATATAGAAATCTAATGCGCAGGTCTATTTGTTTTTTGAAATCCAATGAAAATCAAAACTTTTGTTGTTAAACTAAATAAATTCCAAAGAAAAAAAAAGAAAATTCCTTGAAATTAGACGAATGCCAATTTGGATCTCACCTATAGAGTTGTATTAACTATAGAGATCTATTGCGCAGATCTATTTTTTTAGATCCACTGAAAAGCTCGCTGAAAAGCAAAACTTTTGTTGTAGACTATCTATACAATAGCATTAACTATAGAGATCTACTGCGCAACTTTACTACTGTCGAGATCTTACGCGCAACTACTAAATTTATTGATCTACTGCGCATCTTCACTCGAATGGTAGATTTATTGAAAACTACTTTGTAGATTAATTTTACCTCGTAAATCCAATTGTACTAAACTTTAAAGATCTACTGCGCATTCCAAATTACTTTTTACATTTGTTAAGAACGAGCATTTATTCAGTAGATCAACTGCACAATTGAACTAACTTGAGTGATCTACTGCGCACCTTAAGTTGCTCTATTATGCAGTTTTACTTACTCTATAGATCTTCTGTGCAATTTTACTTACTTTATAGATCTTCTGCGCAATTTTACTAACTCTATAGATCTTCTGCGCAGATGAGCTTTCTCTATAGATATTATGTGCAGTTGACCTTGCTCTACAGATCTACTGCTCAGCTATGAGTGCTTCACTTTCGTTCGAGCACTTTGTAGATCAATTCTTCAAAGTTGCACGTAATTTATAGATCTACGGCGCATTTTGCAGATAAATTCTGCAACGTTGCACATAATTTATAGATCTTCTGCGTATGTGTACTAAATTTACAGATCTACTGCGCAACCTTTCCTTGCATTTCAGATCAATTGAAAATTACTTTCTAGATTACTTTTTAGATCCAGTGAAGAATTGTAATATAAATTTAGGGATCTACTGCACAGATAAATTTACTTTATTGATCCATTGCGCATTCCTAATTGCTTTCCAGATTCATTTTCTTCTTTTTAGATCTCTTTTTTAAGAAACTTACTTTGAAGATCAATTCTGTAAAGTTGGACAAAATTCAAAGACCTACTGCGCAGATTTTCCTATTGTCTAGATCTTCTGCGCGTGTGTATTAAAATTCACAGATCTACTGCGCATCTTCACTTACATTCCAAATATATTGAATATTACTTTCTAAGATTTCTTTTACTGTTTAGATCCACTGAACAATTGTATACTAAATTTTAGAGATCTACTGCGCAGCTTTTCCAAATACATAGATCTTCTGCGCAACTGCACTAAATTTATAGATCTACTGCGCATCTTCACTTACATTTCAGATTATTTCAAAATTACTTTCTAGATTTCTTTAACTTTTTAGATCCACTGAACACTTGTACTAGTAGTTAGAGATCTACTGCGCATCTTTATCTACTCGACAGATCTACTGCGCATCTTCACTTACGTTTCAGATTATTTCAAAACTACTTTCTAGATTTTTTTTACTTTTTAGATCCACTGAACAATTGTATACTAAACTTTAGAGATCTATCGGGCAGCTTTTCCAACTGTCTAGATCTTCTACACAACTGTACTAAATTTATAGATCTACTGCGCATCTTCACTTACATTTCAGATTATTTCAAAATTACTTTCTAGATTTTTTTTACTCTTTAGATCCACTGAACAATTGTATACTAAACTTTAGAGATCTACTGCGCAGTTTTATCTACTCGACAGATCTACTGCGCAGCTGTTCTCGCTCTTAAGATCTACTGCGCAGCTGCGTCAAAATTCACCACAGTAACATCAAAAAATAATATTTTTTTTCCTTCAACTTTCAGTTTCTTTAAAAAACAACAGTACAACCATTGCCTACAGTGAAAACTAAATAAATTCCAAAGAAAAAAAAAGAAAATGAAAATCCCTTGAAATTAGACGAATGCCAATTTGGATCTCACTCATTCGAGAGAGTTTAATTTAAATCGCGCGTTCACGGAAGTGTAATACACACACACACATATTCGATATGTATATAAATGTAATATCAAAAGATCATTGAACGTCTGATTATATTATTGAAGCGCAACTCACACGTTACATTGACTTTAACTCGAGTGTATCCTCGTCTCGTATGTATTTTCTATATTCAATCAAGTTTTACGTAAAACGATATCAAGTTCCTGGTTAATCGTCTTGACCAATCGAATCATCAATATATATATATATACGTTTAGGTAAATGCATCACATATACACATACTTATGTATCAGACATATTCGCAGCAAGGGTAATGAGGAAGGTTGTGAGAGGTCGAGAGGTAGGGTGGGGGGAGAGGGAAATCGGATGTGCAATCTATGTGTGCGACGCTCTGCTTTACACTTAAATAATACTTTCACCACGCGTTACGATAAAATTAGAGCAATATTCTCTCCTAAAGCGTCTATGAGAATATTACAACTACAAGAAAATATTACTTTCCCCTACTCTCAAAAAGAAAAAAAAAGTTTAACTAGAAATATTAAATTTAATAACCTTACAACCATATCGTTAATTAATTAATTGGACATAGTAAATAAATAAACTAATTAATTTAAATTAAAAGTTATTAACTTATTAAATGATTAATAACAAATTAAATGATTAATAACTAATTAAATGATTAATAATAAATTAAATGATTAATAACTAATTAATTGATTAATAACTAATTAAATAATTATTAGTTATTAATTACCTAATAAGTATTAATGATTAATTATTTATTGAATAATAATTACTTCATGATAATTAGTAATTTAGCTATTAATTAGTAAATTATTGCCGAATTACTTAATTAGTTACTAATATGTTAATATCTAATTAATTAATTAATTAGTTACTAATATGTTAACATCTAATTAATTAATTAGTTATTAATTATTACTTAATTAGCAATTAATAATTAGGTACCTAATTAGATATTAGTTATTACCTAATTAATAATTATCTATTATCACCTGATTAGTAAGTAATTACTATTAATTAATTAGCAATTAAGTATTACCTAATTTTATCAATTAATTATTATTTACTAATTAGGAAATAATTATTATTACCAAATTAGAAATTAATTATTATTCAATTAGCAATTAATCTTTACATAATTGGCAAGTAATTACTGTTACCAAATTAGCAATTAATTATTACATATTTAGCAAATTATTGTTATTACCTAATTAATAATTAATTATTACGTAATTAACAATTAACAATCATTAAATCAGCAAGCAATTACTATTACCTAATTAGCAATTAATATTTACCTAATTGGCAAGTAATTACTATTACTAAATTAGTAATTAATTATTACCTATTTAGCAAATAATTATAATTATCTAATTAATAATTAATTATTACCTAATTAGCAATTAAAATTCACCTAATTAGTAAGTAATTACTATTACCTAATTAGCAATTAATATTTACTGAATTGGGAAGTAATTACTATTACTAAATTAGCAATTAATTATTACCTATTTAGCAAATAATTATTTTTATATAATTAATAATTATTACCTAATTAGCAAATAATTATTATTTACACATTAATAAGTTAATTAGGGAATTTTTAATTAATAATTACCTCAGTTGTTATCAATTATTTATACATCAATTAGTTACTTATTAGTCATTAATTAATGCTTAGATATTAATTATTATTAATGAGTATAAATTAATATCCAAATACTTGTTTAGTTAATAGTTGTTATTATTTAATACATAATTAATTAGTTATTTGTTAACTAGTTATTTATTGATTTCTTAATTAGTGGGTAATTAATAGTTAAACACTTAATTAATTTGTATTTAGTTTGTTAGTTAGTTATGAATTACTGATATAGTGACTTTCTAGATAATTATTTATTAATTTGATATTAATTACCTAATTAATTAATGCTTAGGTTCTTAAATATTTATTACTTAATTATCTAGTAGCTAGTTAATTATTTATTAATTAAACGTTAGTTGTTTAGTTACTAATTACTAAATTAATTAATCGTCAGTTAATTGGTTATTAAATACATATTTTTGAGTATGCTTTGTTTTATTTTTTGACAATTAGGTAAATATTAATTGTTAATTAGGTAATAATTAATTGCTAATTTATTAAAACTAAAGATCATTAAGTACCTAATCAATTGAAAGTTAGTGATTTAGGTACCTAATTAATTAAAAGTTAGTGATTCAGGTACCTAATTAATTAATAAGTTAATAGTTAGTTAATTCAGTACCTAAATAATTAAAAGTTAGTAACTTAAGTACCTAATTACTTAACAGCTAGTTAATTTGTTAATAGTTACTTAATTAAGTACCTAATTAATTAAAAGTCAGTTAAGTAAAAACCTAATTAATTAATAGTTAGTTAATTAATTAATAATTAGTTAATTAAATACTTAATTAATTGAAAGTTAGATAAGTAAGTACCTAATTAATTAACAGTTAACAGTACAAAATTAATTCATAGTTAGTTAATTAAGTACAAAATTAATTAATTGTTTGTTATAATTAAGTATCTAATTAATTGAAAATGAGTTAGTTAAGTACCTAATTAATTAAAAAAACTTAATTTTTAGTTAATTAAGTATTCTTAATTAATTAATAATTTGTTATTCAGTTTTTTCTTGCTTGTCTATTTAATTAGTAGTTAGTTTATTTTAATTATTAAGTATTTTTTTAAAATTAGTTGTAAATTAGTTAATCATTATAATATTAATGAATTACATTTTGATTATATGAAATAATAATTTTTATTTGTTTATAATGATTGCTAATTTTTTTTTATTTCTATGCAAAATTAGAGCTGCGAAGGCCGAGTCAATTCAACAGCAACAACAGCAAAGGCCAACGCAAAGACAACAACAAAATTCAGTGACAGTCTCGGCACCACCATCGTCGACAATTCCCGAACGACAATTCCGACAGAGACAACATCAGAGGACCTATCATGACGAGGAATATGAGCCAGCATCGGAAATTGAAAGTGATCGACAGCAAAGAGTCTATCGAGGTCAACCATCAACGATCGGTCAAGTTCAACGTGATCGTGATGGTCTACGAAGAAATATCATTAGCGTAAGTTATAATAAATTTTGTTTCTCATTTCAATTAATTATATGCATGTTATTATTATTTTTTTTTTAATAAATTTTTTAAAATATTTTTTTTATTATATTTTTTTAAATATTTTTTTATTAAATTAATGAAAATAACCTTAAAATTGTAGGTCAATAGAAAATGGTCAAGGGTCATTATTAAGCTAATATTTAGGTCAAGTGTAACTAAACAAGAGAAAGACGTATAAAAATAAAGTTATGAGTACAAGTTACAAAGTAGAATAATATACAAAACTTGAAAAATAGGCCAATTTAGGTCAATTTAGGTCAAAAAATACCAAAAAAAAGGAAAAATGTAACTTACAAAATAAAATATTATAAAGTCAAACGGCAGCTTAACTGTTAGATCAATTTAGACAAATTTATATTAAATTAGGTCAAATTAGGTCGATTTAGGTCAATTCTGGCCAAAAACTTAATAAAAATAAAAAAACTATAACATTCAATTCGATGTTTTATAAAATCGAACGATACCATACAATTAAGGTCAACGTAGTCAGTATATAAATTTAGGTCAATATATGTCAATTTAGATTCCTATTGGTCAATTTAGGTCAATTAGGCTGAATTTTTTTTTTAAATTATAAGACTTAACATACAATATGAAATATTAAAAAATTAAACTATAACTTAAAATTCAAGTAAATTTAGGTCAATTTCGACCATTTTCTACCAAGTTAGTCTCATTTAGGTCAAATTTGGTCAAAAATTGTCCAATAAAAAGAAAATGATCTATAAAGTACAATTTGAAGTCTTAAAAAGTCAATCAAGACGACAAAACTTAAAAGTCAAGTAAATTTTTGTTAATTTAGACCAAATTAGTCGAATTCAGGTCAAATTAGGTCAAAAATTGTCCAATAAAAAAGAAATAAACTATAAAGTTCAATTTGAATTCTTAAAAAGTGAATCAATACGACAAAACTTAAAAGACAAGTAAATTTAGGTCACTTTAGACCAAGTAAGTCTAATTTAGGTCAAATTAGGTGAAAAATTGTCTTAAAAAAAAGAAATAAACTATAAAGTCCAATTTGAATTTTTAAAAAGTGAAGCAATACGACAAAACTTAAAAGACAAGTAAATTTAGGTCACTTTAGACCAAGTAAGTCTAATTTAGGTCAAATTAGGTCAAAAATTGTCTTAAAAAAGAAAGTAAACTATAAAGTCTAATTTGAATTCTTAAGAGTGAATCAATACGTTAAAACTTAAAAGTCAAGTAAATTTTGGTCAATTTAGACCAAGTTAGTCTAATTTAGGTCAAAATAGACCAATTTAGGCCAACACTCAATAATAATGAAAAACTATAACATATAATTTGATATTTTATGTAATTCAACGATATCTAATAATTGAGTTCAATGTAGTAAATATATATGTAGGTCAATTTAGGTCATAATAGATAAATTTAGGTCAAAAACTCAATAACAACGAAAAAAGTATAAAATTTAATTTAATATTTTATAAAATCAAACGATACTTAAGAATTGAGGTAAATATTATCAATACATCAATTGAGGTCAATTTAGATCAACATAGACCAAATAATATCAACAACTCAATAATAATAAGAAACTAGGTATAACATACAATTTGATGTTTTTTAAAATTGAACGATACCTAATAATTGAGTTCAGTTTAGTCAATATACATCAATTTAGGTCAAAAATAGATCAATTTTGGTCAACAATTCAATAATAATGGAAAATGTATAAAAACAAAATTTGATGTTTTATAAAATCAACCGATACATAAAAATGGAGGTCAATGTAATTAATACATCAATTGAGCCTCCGGATAGTATAACCACAGATAAAATTCTGACGCCCATTGAATTAGCATGGCGTTTAGAATTTTATGTGTGCTTATACTTTCCGGAGGCTCAATTTAGGTCATTTTAGGTCAATGTTGAGCAATTTAGGTTAATTTTTGACAATGATATTAATGTTTATCAGTTTAGGTCAATATCTTAATAAAAATGAAAAAGCCTATAGCACTCAATTTAGTAATATATAAAATTATATTATACCTTACAATTAAGGTCAATTTAGGTCCAAAATAGATCAATTTAGGTCAACAACTCAATGAGAATGAAAAAACTAAAACATATAATTTGATATTTTATAAAATCGAACGATACCTAATAATTGAGTTTAATGTAGTCAATATATATATTTAGGTCAATATAGACAAATTTAGGTCAACACATCAATGAGAATGAAGAAACTATAACATACATTTTAATATTTTATGAAATCAAACGATACCTAATAATTGAGGCCAGTGTAGTCAATATAAAAGAATTTAGGTCAATTTAGGTCAAAAGTAGTTCAATTTAGGTCAACAACTCCATTATGTTGGAAAAACTGTAACATACAATTTAATATTTTATAAAATCAAAGGATGCTTTACAATTGAGGTTTGTGTTGTCAATATAAATCAATTTAGGTCATTTTAAGTCAATTTAGGTCAAATTAGGTCAAATTAGGTCAAAATTTTTCCAATAAAGAAGAAAATAACTATGAAAATATAATTTTTCTTTAAAGTCATAGGATTAGTAAAAATTTAGGTAAATTTAAGAAATTTTTTTTAATTACACATTTTTTGGTAATAATATTATTGAAATATTTCTTTTTCTTCATTTTTCTTGGGTGCGAATTGACATAAATGGAAGTAGGGCCTTGTTCCAGTTAATAATACAAATACAATAGAGTGAAAAGAGAATGATTAAAATTACAGATGATTTAGAAAAATAGAGCGCCATTGCATTGAATAAAGAGAGGAATTTAATTCAGCATCAAGTTCTCAATGGGACTTGATAATTAATATAATATGTTTGGACACACAATTATTCAAATATTATTCAAGCACAATATGTGTGTGTGTGTGTTTTTAAAAAAAAACATTGTATATCCTGTTACGAGTTATTTTCTTTCTCTCTTTCTCCTTCTCTCTTTTTCTCTCTTTCTCTCCCTCGATAATGTATTAACATACAATGATACCTTGTGTACAATGCATAATGAGTCGAGAATATATTTAATAATAAAAACAGGAGCAGAAAAATTCCTTTTATAAAATCTTGAGCAAGCACTGATTAATAATAATAAATCATGTTTAGATATAGATTTTTACAATTTAATTTTCATTTTTGAATTTCAATTAAGTTAAATGTAGTTTCATTTCTTTTTCATTTTTTAAAAAAATAAAAAAATTTTTAAATGATTTTTTTTAAAAATTAAAATTTTTTTAAATAATTTTTTTGTGGTCAATAAAAAAATTTTCTTCTGTAAAAGCTGAATGTATTTTTTTTTTTTTTTTTTGCTTTTAGAGACATTTCTCACAATCGGTATTCAATTTTATTTATTTTCCTTTGTGTCTTAATGATACTTTCAATTTCAAGGCAAATTAAAACGTTGTAGGTCAAAATTTGAGTAAAAGTAAATTTTTTTTTTTTAATTAAAAATAGAGAAATGAAAATGTAGAAACATAATAAAATAACGTAGGTAAAAAAAGTGAAAATTAAATAAATACAATAAAATATAACCACAGGTCAAAATTAGGTCCCTTTAGGTCAAAATTTTAATAGTAAAAAATTTGTTGCAAATTAATAAAGAAATGAAAAGATGAAAAATAGTAAGATAATTAAAATATAAAGAATAGTAAAAAAGAAGAATATACAAAAATAAAAAAAATTAAAATTAGGTCGACTTAGGTCAAAATTATATCATTTTTGGGCCAGAATTTTAGTAAAACCGTTTTTTTTTAATAAATGAAGAAAAGAAAATGTAGAATTACTTATTTTTTCAAATAAGTAAAGAAATAAAAATATTCAATAATTAATGCAACTAAATTAAATATAAAAAATAATAAAAACAAAATAACTTAAAATTAGGTCGTTTTAGATCATAATTTTAGTAAAAGAAAATTTTTTTTCAAATGAATAAAGAACATAAAATAGGAGAAAATAATAAAATAAATTTAATTATAATAAAAAATAGAAATATTTAAAAATAAAATTAATTTAATGTTTGAATTCGGTCGTTTTAGGTCCAAATTTTAATTGAAATGACTTTTTTTTAAATGAATAAAGAATTTAAAATATAAAAAAATAATAAAATGATTGAAAAAAAATAATAATTAAAAATACAAATATACAACAATAAAATTTATTTAAGGTTTAAATTAGGTCGTTTTAGGTCAATATTTTGAATAAATTTTTTTTTCTAATTAATAAAATAATTAATATATTAAAAAATAATAAAATAATGAGTAAATATGTAAAAATATAAATATTATTTCAAACAATCTTTATATAGAAAAATAGAGAATTGAAAATTATTATTTAAAAATTTTTGTTCTTGAAATAATAGAAAATTATTTAAAAAATTTAAAAATTAACCAAAAAATACTAATTTTTATTACAGGAAAGAGAAAAGGACAGCATTATTAATTCGAGAGCTCAAACTGAGAGTCACTACAGGTGAGTATTTTTTCTTTTATTAATTTATTTATTGGAAATTATTTCTATTTTATTTTATTTTTTTACTTTAGAATAATATTTTATTTATATTTGTTTATAAATAATATTTTATTGATATTTATTTATTTTTATTTATAAATAATATTTTTTTATATTTGTTTAACGTCATTTAAAATATTTTCCAAATTTTTTTATTTGTAAAAAAAATATAATTTTTTTTTTAAGAAGAGCACCATCAGAATCGCCAAGAACTGTTAAAACTACAGCCTCGACTGCAGCGCCAGTTCCAGCGCCATTTTCGAAAAACTATTACAATGATCCCGATCAAAGTTATCCATTCTATACAATTTATGATGATGATGTCTCTATTTATAAAGATGACGGTAAGTTTTTGCAAAAATATAACATTTTTATTATAAAATCATTTTTGTTTAGGAAAAAATAATTTTTTTAAATTTTATTTTGCTAAAAAACATTTTTTGAAAAAAAATTTTTTTTTTAATTTTATTTTACTTTAAAAAATCATTTTTTGAAAAAATTTCATTATATTTATAATTTTATAATTTAAATAACATAAATATGTTATACATCGAGAATAAAATAAAGAATAAAAAATATAACAATGTGAAACTAGGCGTAAAATGATATTTGTATTTTCTTTTCTTTTTTAATTTTGATGAATAAAAGAATCATTTTTTTGCCACTTTGATGAATGATGAAATTTAGTTTGAATTCTGTTGCGCTTGATGTAAAAAGATAAATAGTGAAATATCACGCAATTAGAAAACAAAAAAGGAATAACTCTTGCTTAATTGTTATTTAACCAGAAATATATTATACAAAAAAAAATTAGAAAAAAATAGTAAATACTGAACATCCAACCAGAAAATTGAATGTCATTTAAAGTGTAAATCAATAAATTTCTGATCTCACTTACGTCACTTATTCAAAAATAAAAACAATTTTATATTTAAAAAATTATTATGTTTTTTTTATTAATTTAAAAATTAAAATTAAAAAAAAAATTAAAATTTTCAGTATTTTAAGTTATAAAAATTATATTTCGATATAAAAATACTAAAAAAAATTTTTTTTTTAATTCAAAAGAATATTTTCATTTTCATTTTCATTTTCATTTTCATTTTCATTTTCATTTTCATTTTCATTTTCATTTTCATTTTCATTTTCATTTTCATTTTCATTTTCATTTTCATTTTCATTTTCATTTTCATTTTCATTTTCATTTTCATTTTCATTTTCATTTTCATTTTCATTTTCATTTTCATTTTCATTTTCATTTTCATTTTCATTTTCATTTTCATTTTCATTTTCATTTTTAATTTTATTTTTATTAATAAATAATAAATAATTAGTAACAGTTTTAATAATAGTTTTTAATAATAGTTTTTAATAAAAGTTTTTAAAAATAGTTTTTAAAAATATTTTTTTAAAATATAATTTTTGTCTTAAAATATTGTTTTTTATTTTCTGAAGATTACAACCAATACACAGTGAACCATACACTACCGGTTCAACATCAAAGCGTGAGAATAAGTGACGTGTCATCGAACTCAAAGCAGTATCATCAAAAGCCGAAGAAGGTTACTGTAAACGATGCTGACAAGTACAACCTGAATCAAGACGTCACAGTTCAGGATTACGACATTTACGACAATCAGGTGCGCGCACCATAATCGACTACATTTACAAGCAACTACAATAATAAAAAATGCAGACAATTTTTTTCCCTTAAAAAAAAAAAAAAAAAAAAAACTATTTCATTTACTTATTTATATATTTTTCTACCTATTATATAATGCAAATAATATTTTTCTTTTAGGCTCAACTAAATAAGAATAAATTCCGTCTCACCGACACTCAACAATCAATTAGGTAAGTTTACAAAAATATTTTTTTTTCCTTTTTCATAAAAAACGAACACTTTTTTTTCGAACAGTTAAATATTTGTTTTTGAATTAAACTATTTTAATAAAATAGTTTAAAATACAATTTTAATTTCATAATTAGTTTGAATCAGTTTTAAACATTTTTCACCTATTAAAACAAGTTTAAACTAATTTAATAAATTTTTAAACTCTTAAAACAAGTTTGAACTAATTTAATACATTTTTAAACTCTTCAAATAAGTTTGAACCATTTTAATACATTTTTAACCATTTAAAATAAGTTTGAACTAATTTGATACATTTTTAAATGTTAAAACTTGTTTTTAACTATTTTTAAAAAATTTTAACATAAAAAACAAGTTTAATATGGTTTGAAACAATTCTAAATTATAACTTTAAAATAGAACAAGTTTGACATTATTTTAACCTGTTATAACAAGTTTAAACTAGTTTGACACATTTTCCAATCTGTTTGTATTACTATTATTCATTTTTAAGTTTCTAAGACGATAAAACAAGTTTGAACTAGTTTGTTATATTTTTAATCTGTTGGAACAGGATTGAACTAGTTTGTTGTTTGAACTAGTTTGTTCTGAAGATATTTCAAATAGTTTTCTTTAACTTATTCTAAACTTGTTTAAATGCGTTTTGAACATGTTCTGAATATGTTGCAAATAATTTTGAACTTGTTCTGAACTTGTTTTTTTAAAGTAATTTTAAACTTAGCCTGAACTTGTTTTGAACAGTTTTTTATCTATTTTAAACTTGTTCAGTACTATTTTGAACTTTCTCTGAACTTGTTTCAAAAATTTTTTTAACATTTTCTTAAATGAAACTTACTTTAAATTGAACTTGGTTTTTTTATAAAAATGTTATACTTGATCTAAACTTGTTTAAAACAGTTTTGAACTGGTTTTTATATTCTCAATATGTTTTAAAATTTTTCACAGAAGTATTTTGAACTTGTTCTGAACATATTTCAAATAGTTTTTTTTTAATTATAAGTTTAAACTTTTTTTAAAAGGGTTTTAAAAATTGAAACTTAATTTAAACAGTTTTTAACTAGTCACGAACTTGTTTTTTTTAACTTAGCCTGAACAACTTGTTTTGAACAGTTTTGAACATATTTGAAACTTGTTCAGAATTATTTTGAACTTTCTTTGAACTGGTTTCAATAAAATTTTAAACATTTTCTTAACTTGTTTTAAATAGTTTTCAACCTATTATAACAAGTTCAAACTATTTTGATGCCCTTATAATCTGTTAAAATAAAATTAAACTAGTTTTTTACATTTTTATTCTGTCGTAACAGGTTTTTTATAGCAAGTTAGTGTAAACTAGTTTAGAAACAATTGGGAACCTGTTCTAAACTTGTTTAGAACTGTTTTGAACTTGTTCTGAACTTGTTTCAAATAGTTTTGAATCAACCTGTTCTAAACCTTTAGAACTATTTTGAGCCTGTTCTGAACTTGTTTTGAACCTGTTTAAACTTGTTCAGAAATATTTTGAATCTGTTCTGAACATATTTCAAATACATTGCTTTAATTTATTCTAAATTTGTTTAAATAACTTTTGAACTTGTTCCAAACTTGTTTCAAAAAAGTTTGGAACCTGTTCTAAACTTTTTAGAACTATTTTGAGCCCGTTTTGAACTTGTTTTGAATAGTTTTGAACCTGTTCTGAACTTGTTTCGAATAGTTTTGAACGTGGTTTAAACTTGTTTAGATCTTGTTCAGAACTATTTTGAACATGTACTGAACTTGTTTCTAATAGTTTTAAACCTATTTTTAACTTGTTCAGAACTGTTTGAAACATGTTCTGAACTTGTTTCAAAAAGTTTTGAACCTGTTTCAAAATTTGTTCAAACCTATTTTTAACTTTGCTTTGAACTTTATTTCAAACAAGTTTGAAACTATTTCGAATTAGTCTTAATTCGTCCAAAACAAGGGTGGACTTGTTTTGAACTAGTTTTATTCAGTTGTGATATATTTTAATAGTTCCAAAACAAGTTTAAAACAGTTTTAAATTTATTTTTAAACTTTTAAGTAAAACAAGTTTTAAACTGTTTCAAACTGTTTTTATTTGGTTTCAACTTTCAAATATGTTATAAACAATTTCAAACTAGTACGAAACTATTTTGAATTTGAATTTATAATGAAGCAGTTTTATACAGTTGCAAAATTTTTAACATGTTTTGAATAAGTTTAAAATTGTTTTAATATGTTTTGAACAAGTTTAAATTGTTTTAACATGTTTTAAACAAGTTTAAAATTGTTTTAAATTAGTTTCGACAAGTTTAAAACTGTTGTGAACAAGTTTTATAGTGTTTAAACTGTTATAAACAAGTTTGAAAGCATATTAAAGTTTTTTTAAAAACTTTCAAAATTAATTTTAAATATTTAGTGTTTAATTATTTTAGTAATAATTTTTAATTAAAAATTATTTTTCCATTATTTTTTCAATTATTTAATTTTAAAAACTGTTTAAAAATATTTTTTTTTCGAAAGACCTTTTTAATTCTTTATCATAGAAATTTAAGAACATACGTTTGCAAATAATAATGATAATAATAATAATAATAATAATAATAATAATAATAATAATAATGAAATTACAATTTATCGTAAAAATTGCTAAATTTAATTACAACTATAAGTGAATAATAATTGACACTTTCTCATCATTTGACCAAAGAATTTCAAAGCGTAAATATACAAAGTGAAATAAAGTAATATTTTAATTGTCAGTCAAATGTCTAATTTTAGCTTCTTCCTTCTTCTTCTTCTTTTTCATCTTTTTCTTCTTCATAATCTCTTGAAATATGTAATTAGATTTGAATTTGCAATCGTTTGCCTCTATATTTGTCGAGACTCTTAAGCAAACGATAATGAAAAAGAACTTTCGCAATTTTTCCCAGTCTATAATGATGATTCTTTCTCATCTCCAACTCATTTTCCATATAATATTTTCTTTAATTTTTTTTTTTTTATTTTCTTTCCTCAATATAATTTTTTTCATGTAATATCCAATGTAATGAAATTAATATAATTGCTTGTTTTATATTTAAATTTCTATAATATATAAAAAATTTTTACAGAGTTATAAATAAATATTATATTTAATTCTATAATTATATTTATAATTATTAATTCGACAATTATATGTATAATTATTAATTACTTATTATATTAATTTATAATTATATTTTATATATTTAATATTTATAAATATTATAAATTTATTTTTATATATAATATATAATATTTAAATTTATAACACTGCGAAATTTTGTTCTTTTTTTCTAAATGCAATGAAGATGAGCATAAGAAGAAAAAAAAGAGAAAAGAAGAAAAAAAATTAAATATATAAGAAGCGTCAATTTATTGCTAATTAATCTTGACGTTTCACATCAAGATGAGCGTGTAGGTACTTGTAACAAGCGTTTACGTAAAAGACCGCAATGTCATTATTCATTCAGTCATTGATAAAAATAGTTGAGGTTATGTTGTTTTAACCTTTCATATCCCCCCTCACTCTTCCCCTCATCACCCCTTCTCACTCATTCTTCAACAATCATATATCCAATATGAAATAATAAGAATCATAAATTAAATTCAAATTCCCATATCAAAAATTAATCCACTTGGCAAATTTTCTTCCTTCATTAATGTCAAGAAATAAAATTTATTTTTTTTCAAATTTTCACAACCAATCAATATATGCATATTATTTACATAATCATACTGTGTAATCATGTTTACATAATTTTCATAATCAAAATAAAATTTCAAAAAAAAATAAATAAACCAATTTATTCGATTAATTGATATTTAAAATTAATCGACATTTCGATTTATTGATGTTCAAAATTAAACGATATTTCGATCCATCGATAGCCTAATTATACTAGAGATTTCGATTAATCGATTATGTTTATCCATATTATCAAAAATAGTCGATAGAATCGATACCTGTCGATAGTATCGATACCTTTATTTTGATAGTATCGATATCTATCGATAGTATCGATATCTATCGATAGTATCGATATCTATCGATAGTATTGAAACCTTTATTTCAATTATTATTATTAATAATTTATTATTATTTTTATTATTGTTATTATTATTTATAAATTTTATTTTATTTTTTTCAAGGACCAACATTTTAAGCCATCCAGTTGTTCATGTGACAACACCAAATTCAATTGTTGATTCGTATATTTCCCTAACAACAACAACACAACCAACACCAACGACTGTTCGTCAATATTCTATAAGTGCTCCCAGGTATGTTTAAAAAAATGCATAAAAATTATATATTCAAATAAAACGAAATTTGATTTTGAAAAGTTATTGACAAAAAAAATTTTTCTTTATTTTTTTAAAATAATTTTTACTGTTTTAGAGAAAAATTACTAAAACTTAAATTTTATTAAATACAAAAATTATAAAAAAATTGTTTTCACTTGAAAATAATAATAATAAAAAATAATAATTATTATTATTATTATTACTATTATTTTAATGTGATATAATAATCAGTTAATTGAATTTGTAATATTTTATAATAATAATTAATTATTTAAATTTTTCTTTTTTTTTAAAATCAATTTCGTTTTGTTTTTGTGAATTATTTCTTATTCTCTCTTGGTTTAGAATGTATTGTCATTGGATGGCAGCAACTGTTAAAATGCAAATGGCGTCCTACGAACAGCTGATCTAAAAATTATAATTTGTTTAAAATTTTAAGTTCAAATTATGTTTGCAATTATCGCAATGTTGATCATAAAAAGAATACAAAATTGAATTTCGTTAAAGTGTTTTAATTATCTACTTTTTGCAATTGAACAGTTACTGTGCCAAATGTTTATTATTTTCTTCTTCACTTTCTTCTATTTTAACAACATGTGAAATTTAACAAATTTTAACAAAATTGTTTGTTAATTTAACCATATTATATGGTTAACAAATTATTTTAACAAATCTTCACATACTTTATTTTAGTGTCTGTATAATTTCTTTATTCACTGTCACGGTTAACAATTTTTTTTTTGATCATTTTTTATCTTTCCTTTGTCTTATTTCTTTGTTTCATTGACTTATTTCTTGTCTACGATTTTTAATTTTTATGACTCGCATTTTTTAATTTCTTCGACTTATTTTTTTTTTGTCTCATTTTTAATTCCTACTTTGATTTATTTTCTGTCTCGGTATTTTTAGTTTTTTTGACTCATTTTTTTTCTCGATTTTTTTTTCTTATCTTAATTTTTTCTTTAACTTATTTTTTACATTTTGTTTTTAATTTCTTCGGTCATTTTTTAATTTCATTTTTATTATTTTCGCCTTGAATTTTTCAATGTTATTTCTTTTAGTTTCTTCGACTCAATTTTTTGTTTCACTTCTATTATTTTCGAACTTATTTCTAATATTATCATAAATTTTTTTGCTCTATTGAATTATTCCCCTTACTTTTTTTAAAGCACATTTATATTTTGACTTCGGTTTTTTATTTTATTTTTGAATTTTTATCTCAATTAAATTCTTCTTTTTGTTGTTGAATTTTTTTGTCTTTTCAAAAAAAAAATTGTTTTTACTATATTTTATTTTAAATATCAAATTCATTGTTTTAGTCATTTTTTCCCTTCTTTTATTTTATCTATAAATTTTGTGAATAATTTTTTTTGCTTTTCTTCTTCGTTTTTATATTTTCCTTCTTTTTTCCTTCACTATTTTCTTTTATTTTGAATTCTTTGTCTTATTTTATTTCTTTTTTTTCAAAATATTTGTGTCTTTATTTTTTTTCTTTCTTCTTGAATTCCCCCCCCTATATTTTGGTATATTTTTTATTTTTAATTATAATAAAATTGTAATTAAAAAATTTTTATTTTTAATTATTTATTTATTTTATTTTATTATATTTATTTATTAATTATTATTTTATATTATTTTATTTTTTATTATTATTAAAATTTTGTATTATTTATAATTAATTTTATTATTATTTATTTATTTAAAATTAAATTTTATTATTATGTTTATGATTATTGTTATGTTTATTTATTTTTCTTTTGTAAAAATAAAAAAAAATATTTTTTCAAAAGAATAAATTGGTGAAATTTTTAAACAAATAAAAAACAAATACTCTACTTTCTTTCTCTTTTAAAATGTATGTATTGCAGGATAAAAAAAATTGATGATAAATACGAAAATTTATTATTTGCTTTTATTAACCTTGATACACGTTTAATTGAGAAATGAGGAAAGCCATGCAATGTTGTGACGCGATTAAGATTTCTATATGTATACGCGAGACGCGATACGCTTGCTAATAAATTATTAGTCGTGCATCATCAATGATCGTGACATTAGATTTTTTTTTACTATTCTATTAAACTATTACTGTCATCATTTTTAACACTTGTTTTTAATACACTGTTTATTAATTTCTATTTTTGGTTCTGGCAACTAGAAATTTTTTTAGGGTACCTAATATTTTAGCAACTAGAAAAATTTTTTTTTAAGGGTAACTAATATTTTGACAAAGGCCTAATTCTCTCTCTCTCTCTCTCTCTCTCTCTCTCTCTCTCTCTCTCTCTCTCTCTCTCTCTCTCTCTCTCTCTCTCTCTCTCTCTCTCTCTCTCTCTCTCTCTCTCTCTCTCTCTCTCTCTCTCTCTTTCTATTATTCTAGTTTTCTTTTTTCTTTTTCTTTTTCCTCTTAGTATTTATTTACAGACGGAATTTTTTACTTTTCTTCCTTTCTTTCTTTCATTCGTTCTTCCTTTTGTTCTTTCACTTTCGCAAATATTTGTTCGCGACACTAATAATTTTCTCTTCTTCTGCTTGCTTTCTTTTCGGCCTAATACGACTATTAAATATTAAAGCACACTGTCTCGATTTTATTGAAAAAAAAAAAAAAATGTCGGGTGTAGAGTCGCGTCGTTTAACGAACATTGATTTATTTTTACAGCCGGGGTCGACCACAAGTTAACCGTGGTACCGCACCACCGTAAGTATCTTACATTGTTCTCCTAATCACTCTCACACAATAATTTCTAGATTAGATAATATGAATTCACCTCGAAACGACAAAAAAAACAAAAAAAAATTTATTTCATTCAAATTTGTAGGATTTTATTTTTTAGGATAGTTTTTAACATAAAGTACGTGCTAGAAACTAGTTTAAAAAGTACAAACTACTTTGAACTAGTTTCAAACATAAATAATTGTCTTCAAACCAATTCAAACAAGTTCAAAATTGTTCAAATCGACTTCTTTTTAATTGTTTTGATAAATTATTTATTATTCACTAGTTTTAAATAATTACTAACTGGTATGAACTAGTTTAAAACAATTCTTAACTATTATGAACTAGTTAAAAACCATTTAAACTGTTATAAACTAGTTGCAAACAGTTATAAACTGTTATGAACTAGTTTCAAATAGTTATAAACTGTTATGAACTAGTTTTAAACAGTTATAAACTGTTATGAATTAGTTTAAAACAGTTATGAACTAGTTTCAAATAGTTAAAAACTGTTATGAACTAGTTTCAAACGTTTATAAACTGTTATGAACTAGTTTCAAACAGTTTCAAACAGTTGTAAACAGGTATGAACTAGTTTTAAACAGTTGTAAACAGTTATGAACTAGTTTTAAACAGTTGTAAACAGTTATGAACTAGTTTTAAACAGTTATAAACTGTTATGAATTAGTTTAAAACAGTTATGAACTAGTTTCAAACAGTTGTAAACAGTTATGAACTAGTTTCAAACAGTTGTAAATTGTTATAAACTAGTTTCAAACAGTTATAAACTGTTATGAACTAGTTTCAAATAGTTATAAGCTATTATGAACTAGTTTCAAACAGTTATAAACTGTTATGAACTAGTTTCAAATAGTTATAAGCTGTAATGAACTAGTTTCTACCAGTTATGAACTAGTTTCTAACAGTTATAAGCTGTTATGAACTAGTTTCAAAGCGTGATAAACTGTTATGAACTAGTTTCAAATAGTTATAAGCTGTTATGAACTAGTTTTAATCAGTTGTGAACTAGTTTCTAACAGTTATAAACTGTTATAAACTAGTTTCAAACAGTTGTAAACTGTTATGAACTAGTTTCAAATAGTTATAAGCTGTTATGAACTAGTTTTAAACAGTTATGAACTAGTTTCTAACGATTATGAACTAGTTTCTAACAGTTATAAACTGTTATGAACTAGTTTCAAATAGTTTAAAACAATTTTAAACTGTTACGAACTAGTTAAAAACAATTATGAACTGTCATGAATGAGTTTCAAACAATTCTAAACTATTTAAAACTAGTTTCTAACAAGTATATTTTTTATGTAAACCATAAAATGATTTTTAAATAATTTTCAACTGTTATAAACAAGTTTGAAACAATTACTGACTGTTGTGAACTAGTTGTAAACAATTACAAGCTGTTATGAACTAGATTAAAACAATTACAAACCATTTAAAACTAGTTTCAAACAAGTATATTTTTCATTTAAACCATAAACTCATTTTAAAATAATTTTTGACTGTTATAAACAAGTTTGAAACAATTACTGACTGTTATAAACTAGTTTTAAACAATTAAAAACTGTTACGAACTAGTTTAAAACAATTACAAACAATTAAAAACTAATTTAAAACAATTACAAACAATTAAAAACTAGTTTCAAACAATTAAATTGTATTTTAAATTATTTTCAAACAATTTTGAACTCGGTTAAATTTGTTTTACGAACCATTTAATAAAAACTGTTAGAAACTAGTTAAAAACAATTTACTTACTGTTAAGAACAAATTTTCAATGATTAATGCTGCTATAAAGTAATTTGAAAAAATTCTAACTGCTAAAAACTAGTTTAAAGCAATTAAAAACTGTTATGAACTAGTTTCAAACAAGTAAATTGGATTTAAACTATAAACTATTTTAAATTAATTACTAACTGTTATAAACAAGTTTGAAACAATTACTGACTGTTTAAAACTAATTACAAACAAGTAAATTAGATCAACTCATGATTTTAATATGTTTCAAATAAGTTTGAAATTATTTGGAACTTGTTTCAAATAGTTCTGAACTTGTTTTTTAAAAGTAAAATTTTATACTTGTCCTGAACATGTTTCAAACAGATTTGAACTTGTTTTTATATTCTCATCATGTTTAAAAAAATTTTCAGAAGTATTTTGAATTTGTTCTTTTATTAAATTTTATGCTTGTTCTGAACTTGTTTCAAACAGTTTTGAACTTGTTTTTATATTCTGAACATGTTTAAAAATTTTTCAGTATTATTTTGAACTTGTTCAGAATATTTTTCAAATTGTTCTTTTAATTATAATTTTAAACTTGTTTCAAAAGGGTTTTAAAAATTTTAAACTAGTTTTTTAACTAGTTGATTTTAAACTAGTCCCGAACTTGTTTTTATTAATTTTATACTTGTTTCAAACAATTTTTGAACTTATTCTAAGCTTTTTTTGAACAGTTCTGAACTTGTTTTTAGATTCTGCACATGTTCCAAACAGTTCGAAACATATTTGAAAATTGTTCAGTACTATTTTGAACTTGTTCTGAACATATTTTAAATCTGTTTTCAACTTGTTCAGAACTTGTTTGACATTATTTTCAACTTTTTCTGAATTTTTTTTAAAAAGAATTTTGTACTTGTTCTGAACTTATTTTGAACTTGTTCTGAACTTATTTTAAACTTGTTCTGAACTTATTTTGAACTTGTTCTGAACTTATTTTAAACTTGTTCTGAACTTGTGCCGAACTTATTATGAACTTGTTTCAAACAGTTTCCAAACTTATTGCAAAAACACTTTCAACTGATTTTGAACTAATTTTAAAATAGTTTTGAACTAGTCAAAATCTTTATTTTTTAAATTTGATTATATCTTGTATAATTTACTTTTTTTTAAATTTATATAATAGTTGAAAGTTTATAATAAATTTAAGAGTATTTTTACCAATGACAGTGATTGGCTGTATTTTTTTTCAAAATTTTTTAAAAGATAACTTGAAATAAATTTTAAGTATATTTGACACAGCGATACAATAAATAGAAATATAATATTGAATTTACGTTGAATTCGATGTCATAAAAATCATCGGGAAAAATGTGACTGCATTGGGTTTGAAATGCGGTCACGATAATATCTTGCGATTTTATGGATTACGAAAGTTACGTCGTTCAAATAGAAATCGTATTTTAATCGATTGTAAACGAAGGGACGCAGTTGGTGATGGTGGAGAGGGGGCAAGGGGGGAGGGGGGGGTATGAAAAAAAGAGTCAATTTAACATTAATTGTGTCATTTTTACTTCCAATATTGTCTCGCAGTCAATTTAAAATGGCGAAAAAATATTTTTATTATCAACTATTAGATAATACGACTTGAATTGCGATCTAATATATCTAGTAACGAACTTTTTTTTCTTCAATATAAACTCCATTTCTCCTGAGGATTAATTTTTTATTTTAGAAAATTCTTTATTTTTAAAAATTATTATATAAATAAATATAATAAAAATAATAATAATAATAATAATAATAATAATTTTTTTAGAATCTGATAATGAGCAGATTTTCAACTTTTCTCGTAAAACAAAAACAAAAACAAAAAATGTCTCCAAAAAAAAAAATTATTTTACTTAGAGTTTTTATTATTTATTATTATTTTTCATAAAGGTCTGTGATATAAATAAATAATCAAGATTTTATTTTTTAGATTGAAAAACGTTAATTTTTAAAAAATCGTTTTATTTAAATAATAATTGTTTTTTTAGACGTTCGCGACCAACTTTAAAACCATCGACGGAAATTGTCTCCAAGGCCCAAGAATTTGTTGACATCTATAGACATCCAGCTGTAAGACCGGCGCCAATTTATCCCACACCACAAGTTGATAAACCAGCCGCCAGATGTCGTAAAGATGTTTGCTTAATACCAGATTGCTCGTGTGGTGGCGCTGACATTCCAGGTTTGTGAAACATTCCAAATATTATTTTCTAAAATTCTTAATTTATAATTTTTAATTTCCATTTTAGTTACGTATTTATTTTTAATTTTAGTTTTTTTTTTATTTTAGTTGTAATTATTTTTTATTTATTTTTTATTTTAGTTTTATTTTGTATTTTAGTTAAATTTATTTTATTTTATATTTTAGTTGTATTTTTTTAAAACATGTATTTTTTTATTTTAATTGTGTTTATTTTTGTATTAGTATTGAAGTTGTAATGTTAATTTCAAATTCAAAATTTCGCGCCAAAAAAAAAGAACGTTATGGCCGCTCCAAATCAGCTGATTCAATTCTCTCACCTCGCGAATTTATCGTCTCATAAAATATTTAAAAATAAAGATACAATATTTTCGCGAACATATATTATTTCTACTCAAGTGAATATTTTCCAAAGAATTAAAATTATAAACTCAAAATCATTTTCAAATCAATATTTTTAGATATTTTAATTTTCAAAATTAATTATTAATCCAAATTATTTATTATTGTGACAGAAACTCGAAATTTAGAAAAAGAAATTCTTTTTCAAGTCAAAAAAAAAAAAAATATTTTTACATTTTGGGGAAAAAAATCAGTTAATAAAATAATGAAACTACAAAAAAAATGGGTAGGGGGGGGGGAAGGGAGAAAAATACTTGTCGAGCATGGCTGATTAACGGAGACAAAGTGACGCAACATTGTTCGCGTTCCGAATGTTGATTTTGACGATCGATTTAAGCCAGTCAGCTGAAGACTTTCTCCGCACAGTTCTAAAACATTACATACTCATTACTTGCTACGTTTGAAAGTGAAACAGATACGTGTGTGTGCACCTTTAATAACTTGAACCTCTATATATCGTGTAGAAAAACATTCTTTCGCAATAATATATATAGTATAAAGTCAGTGCGCGGCCTTCGTTTCGCATAGGCACGTAATTGCTTGCGCATTAAACGTGCCCACATTGTCACCATAAAACAATAAGCAATGACCAAGGAAGAAATTCTTTCACAAGGAAGTAAAATTTCATTGTGAAAATTATTTTAATTTCCCCCCAGGGATCGTAATATTTATATTATATATATATACATAGTATTAAATATGGAAATTTTTCCACCTTATTCAGTCAAAAAATGTTTATTATTCAGTTATAGACTAAATGGAACTGTAAAAAAAAAAAAAAAAAAAAAAAAAAAAAAACGGACACTATCAAAACAAGTAAATTTTTATCTTTATATTCAGTCTAAAAAAGTGTATTATAAAGTCAAAATTGTAAGTTGAACTAAAATTTTTAAAAATAACGTTTTTAAATATAAAAAACAAAAAAAAAAAACAAAAAAACTAACGGACACTTTCAAAACGAGTTTTGCATTTTTTTTCAATCTAAAATAAAATCTTGATTATTTATTTATATCACAGATCTTTATGAAAAAAAGTTTCTTTGAAAAAAACTCTTAATTACAATAATTATTTTTTTTTTTTGGTTTTTTTTGTTCTATTTATAAAAATGATAAAAATATAAAAAAAATAAAATATAATAATTATAAAAATATAAAAAAACTCTAATCACAATAATTTTTTTTTGTTTTTTTTTGTTCTATTTATAAAAATTATAAAAATTTACTTGTTTTGATAATGTCCGTTAATTTTTTTTTTTTATTAATAGATTCTTTTTAAAAATTGCATTTCAATTAAGTTTATTAACTGTATAATACACTCAAAAGGCTGAATAAAACTAAAATTTAACTAAAATTTGAAAAATAACGCATTTACAATCAAAAAAGATTAAGGGACACTTTCAAAGAACGAGTTTTGCACTATTTTCAACTTGTCCGAACATGTTAGGGATAATTGTCAAGATTTAAAAAATTGTTTTTCTTGCTCCCCAAGTACTTGGTTATTAAACAAAAATGCAACTTGCTTTAGAACTTATTAGAGCAATAGGCTAAATAATTAGAAACAGTTAAAAACAAGTTAAAAACATACTTAAAAATTAGTTTGCGACTTTGTATTTAGTTTTGCGACTTTAAAAACAATTTCTACTATGTTTTAAAACAATTTAATATAGTAAAAAAATGGTTCTAACTTTGTTTTAAAAAGTTTTATGCAAAAAAAAATTACTATCAAAATTGTTTTCAACTAGTTTTAAATAGGTTTGAACTTGTTAGAATAGGTACGAAAACATGTTTAAACAACTTTTAACGAGTTTGGAACCGTTTAAAGCAGTTAAAAATAAAAAAATTTGTTTAAACTAGATTTGAATAAGTATTAATTGTTTAAAACATATTTGAAGTAGTTTTAAACACTTTAGAACAATTTTAAAGTAGTTAATCTGTTTTAAACTAGTTTAAAAACAACTGGTTTAAACTAGTTCAAATTAGTGTCAAACAAGTACTAATAGAGAAATAACTAGTTCCAAAGTTGTTTGAACTAGTTTCAAGAAGTTTAAACTAGTTTAAAAAACTGGTTTAAACTAGTTAACAAATAGTTTAAACTAGTTTAAAAACAACTGGTTTAAATTAGTTCAAACTAGTTTCAAACGAGTACTACTAGACAAATAACTAGTTTTAAAGTTGGGTGAACCAGTTTCAATAAGTTTCAATAAGTTTGAAATAGTTTAAAAAACTAGTTTTAAAAAACTGGTTCAAACAACTAGTTCAAACTAGTTTGAACTAGTTTTAAATATTTATAAACAATTTAAAATAGTTGAGAACTATTTTTAACTAGTTTCCAACAAGTATTAATAGGTTTAAATACCTTTTATTTATTTTTTTAAATGTTCATTAAATTCTTTAAAATGGTTTTAAAGTTGTTTGTACTTGTTTCAAGTAGGTTGAAACTATTTCAGATTAGTTCAAAACATGTTATAATTTTTATTCCATTTTAAACACATGAAATTTCTTTTAAAAAACCTGTTTTGAACTGGTTTTAAATATACTTATAAATAGTTTAAAGCAGTTAAGAAATGTTTTAAACTAGTTTCAAACAAGTGCTATTAGGTTAAAACTATTTTTAATGTAATTTGAACTAGTTTTAAGTGGGTTTTAACAGTTACGAACTAATTCCGAAAAAATACCTATTCAAAACTTGTTTAAACTGGTTTAAAAGTGTTTTAAATATTTAATAAACAGTTAAAAACTATTGAACCAGTTTTAAGTGGATTATAACAGTTATGTACTGTTTTATAACATGTTTAAACTAGTTTTGATTATTTAAAAGAGTGTTGACAATTTAGAAACAGTTAGAAGCTGTTAAAACAGTTTACAACATGTATCAACTTGTTTTCAACATGTTTCAATTAGCTAAGAACGGTTTTGAACTTGTTTCAAAGAAATATTTGATAACTACTTTCGAACTTGTTTAAATCGTTGCAAATTACTTTCGAACTTGTTTTAAATCGTTGGAAACTAGTTTCGAACTTGATTTAAATCATTTGAAACTGTTTTAAAACTAGTTTGAACTTGTTTCAAGTAGTTTTAACAGGTTTCAAACAGGTTTTAACTTAATTTAACAAGTTTTATGAAGATATACATATTTTTCAACAAATTCTAAGCAGTTGAAAACTATTTTAACATAGTTTAAAAAAATAAGTATTAACCGGATCAAAAGTTATTCAAACTAGTTTTAAGTGGATATTAATGGTTCAGAATTTGTTCACAACATGTTTAAACTCTTTGGAAACAGTTTAACTACAAAAATGTTTTTTCGATCTTATTTGGACTTGTTTTTAATCGTTTAAAATTAGTTTCGAATTTGTTTTAAATCGTTCAAAACTTATTTTAAATCGTTGCAAACTAGTTTTAAACTGGTTTAAAATCGTTGAAAACTAGTTTTGAACTTGTTTTTAATCATTCAAAACCAGTTTCGAACTTGTTTTAAATCTTTGAAAATTAGTTTGGAACTTGTTTAAATTAGTTACAAACCAGTTGCGAATTTGTTTGAAATCGTTAAAAACTTGATTTGAACTTGTTTTTTAATAGTTGACAACTAGTTTGTAACTTGTTTAAAATAATTAGAAATAAGTTTCGAACTTGTTATCAATCTTTGGAAACTAGTTTAATTTTTTTTTAAATTTTAGGAAATCTACAAACTAGTTTGGAACTTGTTTAAAATATTTAGAAACCAGTTGTGAATTTGTTTGAACTCGTTAGAAACTAGTTTCGAACTTGTTTAAAATAGTGCGAAATCAGTTTCGAACTTGTTTTAAATTCTTGGAAACTATTTTTGAGATGGTTGTAAATTTTTGGAACCAATAGTTTTAGAAATCAGTGACGAACTTGTTCTAAACTTGTTTCTGTTCGTTAAGTATTTTTTTTTTTTTGAAATGTTATAAATATTAAAAATTTAGATATTTAGTTAATAATTATTGAAAAATATCGATTACTTCTTTTTGTTTTCCCAAATATCTTAGATGGCATTGATGTGAATAAAACGCCACAAATTGTTCTTTTAACATTCGACGATGCTGTTAATGATTTAAATAAACAATTGTACGCGGATTTATTTGAAAAGGGGAGAAAAAATCCCAATGGTTGTCCAATATCGGCAACATTCTACGTTTCACATGAATGGACCGATTACAGTCAAGTACAAAATCTTTATGCCGACGGCCACGAGATGGCGTCTCACACTGTCTCGTAAGTTTCGCTATACATGTGTGTGTCTCTCTCACTCACTCACTCTCATCATAAAACGCTCAGGAAGCTTTTTTTGTGTCAGGGCTTTTTTCAACTCTAGATTTTTTTTTTGTTTTTCTTAAATTAATTATCAATGGTTAAGAGAACACAAAAAAAAAATTATAAAACAGTTTAAAAGAAAAAAAAAATTGATGAATAATTGCAATTTAAAAATCTGTTTAAAAAAAAAACAGTTTGAAAAATAGCAATTTAGAAAAATCTTGGTTTGAAAAATTACAATTTAGAATAATTCACAAAAATTGTAGTTTAGAAAACTTTCAACTCAAAAAAAAAAAAATTAAAAAAAATTTTTTTTTTAAATTGTGAAATAAAAAAAAATATAAATTAAAAAAAACTTCTTTTCATGTTGAATTAATTCAATTAAGGGAGAGAAGAAAAGAAACGAATAAAAAAAAAGAATAAGAACAAAGAAATTAAAATAAAAAGAAGAAAAGGAACTGTTTTGTGATTCCTTGAATGAGTTATTGCTTAACCATCGATGATAATAATCGCGATTCACGATGTTTTCATGGGTGCAAACACCGGATATCACGAGTCTCATCAACATATCGCCTAAGAAGATATTCTCGTCATTATAATTTTCTATCTCTTATAGGTACATACGGTTTTTCATTATCGCTCCGCATTCGGTTTTTTTTTTTTTTATTTTCTTCTTTATATTATTTTTATTCAAAAGAGAGAAATCAGTGGGGACAAAGGGGGTGAAGAGGGGGGATGGAAATATTCAAAGGAAACTGTGTCCTTGAGGAATAAACAAATAAATAACAATTATTTTCTCTAAAGATTGTAAAAAAAAAAAAAAAAAAAATACAGTTGAGTTCGCTTTCCTCAAGGTCGTCACGTTCCTTAGAAAGTTTTATCTTTTTATATATAAAATGTTTATGGCCTTTATTATAGAAAACAACAAAGCATTTTTTTTTAATCAATTAATTAATTAAATAAATAATTAATTTTTAATAAACAATGAAAATTAAAGTAACAAAAAATTAATAATATTAATACTATTATTACTATTTTTTGCAATAATATTTATTATTATTATTAATAATTATTTAAAAATATTTATTTATAAATTTTTATTTATTATTTATGTAATAATAAATAATAATTTATAAATAAATATTTATTACTAATAATGAATCAATATTCATTATAATTTTCTTTTCACAGGCATTTACAAAAAATTGTTATTATTATTAACTATTAATAATTATTTATAAAAAGTTATTATTTAGAGAAAGAAATTGTAATAATTATTATAAATAATCATTATTTATAACTGTTTATAATAATTTTATTATTAATAATTACTTTTATTTATTATTATTATTATTTATAATAATTTATAGTAATTAATAATTTTAATTATTTACAGTAATTGATATAATTATTTATTACAATTATTTTTGATAATTATTTATTAAAAAATTATGCTAATTATTATAAATAATCATTATTTATAACTGTTTATAATAATTTTATTTGTTATAATTTTATATAATGCAAATATTATTGTTGTAATTATACAAAAAACCATAATTTTGAAAACAAAATGCTTTTTTGTTCTCTATGATAGAAAAATGTATTTTTTTTTTTGCTGAAAAACTAATTTCGCATTACTAACAAGAAATTTTTTTTCTTTTTCTCTCCCATTCCTTTCTTTCTACTACATTGTCATACGTACAAAAATCATTTTTCACATTCAACTCGTTCACTTTAATAAATTTTTTCAAATCATCTTTTTGTTCAAAAAAAAATTAAATATACCAAAAAAAAATCCTAAACTTTCATACAAAAACAAATATTAAAATATTTATAATTGCAAAAAAAAAATTACCTAAATTTTTCGTTTTTAATTAAAAATATTTTCAATTGAAAAATTTGCAAAAAATATTTCTTTCTTTAATTTGAAAAAAAATTTTTTTTTTAAATTTGTTTATTCAATTTGGAAAAAATATAAAATTAACAAAAAAAATTTTTTGTTCAATTTGCAAAAATTGTAAAATTAAAACAATTTTTTTTTCTATTAAATTGCAAATTAAAATTAATACATAATTATTGAAATTTAAAAAAACAATGAAAAATACTGGATGAACGTTACGAAACAATGAATCCCGCCCTGTATCCTATATTCCTTTGGAAAACTGTAAAAAACAAAACAAAAAACAAAAAACAAAAAAATAGGAGACTACTTGCCAGAAGAGATACCGCAAATCGTGCTCCTGACCTTCGACGATTCCGTGAACGACCTTAACAAGGGTCTGTACGCGGATCTCTTTGAAAAGGGCAGAAAGAACCCCAATGGCTGTCCCATCTCGGCGACCTTCTACGTGTCCCACGAATGGACCGACTACAGCCAAGTTCAAAATTTATACGCCACCGGTCACGAGATTGCCTCCCACACGGTCTCGTAAGTACTAAACGAGCACCCCCTTTTATTTCTAAATTTTTTATTTTTTTTTTACTTTTTTAATATTTTTTGAACTATTTTTAACTATTTTCTACTATTACTAACTTTTTCTACACTTTTTTTTACCATTGTCTACTATTTCTTAATATTTTTTTCACTGTTTCTTACTATTTTCTACTATTTTTCACTATTTCTTACTGTTTATTACTATTTTTCACTATTTACAACTAATTTTTACTATTTTCTACTATTTCAAAGAATTTTTTATTTTTAACTGTTATTTTTTATTGTCCACAATTTTTTTTTACTATTTCCTACTATTTCTCATTAGTTTTTACTATTTTTTTTATTATTTTAAACTATTTATTACTATTTTTAATGGTTTTTACTATTTATAACTATTTCTTTACATTTTTTATAATATTTTTTACTATTTTTAACTATTTTTTACTGTTCTTTACAATTTTTTTTTACTCTTTTCAACTATTTCTAAACTTTTTTTTACTATTTTTTACTATTTCTTACTATTTTTTTACTATTTCTTACTGTACTTTACTATTTTGAACAATTTCTTAGCTTTTTTTTACTATTTTGTACTATTTCTAACAATTTGTTTCTGGTTCACATTATTTCCAACAAGAACTTACTTTTTTTTACTATTTTCTACTATTTTTAACTATTTTTTACTATTTCCAACTATATTATACTTTTTTTACTGTTTTCTACTATTTCTTACTATATATATTTTTTAATTTTCTATTTCTTACTATTTTTTTATTTTCCACTATTTCTTACTATTTTTAACTGTTTTTTCCTATTGTCCACTATTTTGTTTACTATTTCCTACTATTTATTATTAGTTTGTACTGTTTTTTTACTATTTTCAACTATTTATTACTATTTTAAATTTTTTTTACTATTTTCTACTATTTTTAACTATTTTTTACTGTTATCTACTGTTATTTACTATTTTTTACTATTCTCAACTATCTCTTACCTTTTTTTTACTATTTTCTATTATTTCTTACTATTTTTTACTGTATTTTACTATTTCTAAATATTTTTTACTATTTCCAACAATTTCTTATTACTATTTTCAACAACATGTTACTTTTTTTGTATTTTCTACTATTTCTTACTATTTTTTCTATTTTCTACTATTTCTTGTTATCTTTAACTATTTTTCACTATTTTTACAATTACTATATCTTATTATATTTTCTACTTTTCTTTTTAATATTCTTCTTTTATATCTTACATTATTATTTATTACTTTTTCAGTTTTTCTACAATTTTTTTTATTTTTAAAAATATTATTACTACATCTCGCTACTTTGTACTTTTTTTACAATTTCATACTATTTCTTACTGTTTCTTACTATTTTTTACAATTTCTTACTATTTTTCACAATTTCGTACTATTTCTTACTATTTCTTACTGTTTCTTACTATTTTTTACAATTTCTTACTATTTTTTACAATTTCTTACTATTGTTCACAATTTCGTACTATTTCTTACTACTTCTTACAATTTCATACTATTTCTTACTGTTTCTTACTATTTTTTACAATTTCTTACTATTTTTCACAATTTCGTACTATTTCTTACTATTTCTTACTGTTTCTTACTATTTCTTTCTATTTCTTAAAATTAACTTCTAGTATGTTTATTTACTTTTTGACTATTTTTTACCTTTTTCAAAACTACCCCTTTGTCACTATTTCTTTACTATTTTTGTACTATTTTTTTCTAGCATTCTAAATATCTGTTTTATTTTATATTATTCACTCGTTATACATATTAATTTATTGGCATTCCCTTTAGACTGCAACTATCAACTATCAATATTGTAGTATTGTTTTCAATTAATTTTCAACTTATTTTCAATTAATCGATTAATTAAAAGTTTATCAATAAATATCCACTTCACAACTGATTATTCGAACAAGAAATTTATCGATTTATACCGATATTCAGTAATCGATAACTCTTATAATTACACAATATTAATTAATCGATTATCGTATATTTGCTAATCAATTATTAAAATATCGATTAATCGATTATTTATCGATTAATTGACTATTTTTTAATCAATCGATTATTTATCGTTTATTCAATTATTTATTCATTAATTGTTTAATTATTAATTACTCGATTATTTATCGTTAAATAAATTATTTATCGATTATTCGATTATTTATCGATCAATTAATTATTTATCGATTAATCAATTATTGAATATTCATTAATTGATTTTTTATGGATTAAACGATTATTTATCTATTTATCGATTATCGAATATCTAAAATGGATATTTTATTAATTGATTAAAATATTTAATAAAACATATTAACATAATCGATTGATTGATTTGAGAATATTGACAAAACGATTAATACTGTCGATATTCTTAATAAAAATTGATTTTTCAGGATCAATATCTTGAGATCGTTTAATTTATGAAAAGAAAAATTTATTAATTCTTGAATTGCAAAAAATTATTTAAATTATTTTCTTCTTTTATCAAATTATTATTATTTTGTAGAATTTTTTTTAATATGTACATAAATAATCGTAATAATAACAATTAGTATTTAATTGTAAATATTGAACTAATTGGCAATAAGGTGCGCAATATAAATAAAAATGAATTCGGTTTTTGAAATGATTGCATGCTGTACAAAAAAAAACTAATAACAATTTTTATAATTCGAAGTAAATTCCATGTTTAGTGGAATTTTTTTTTTTTTTTTGAGAAATCCTAAAGAATTTTATCATTTTGAAATTTTTTTTGAATGTAATTTTAATTAATTACAGAGGAAAATATTTGAAATTAATTAATTTTGATATTAATTTATGTATAGACTTTTTTTTTTTTTAAATTTATCTTTTATTACACTTAATTGGTAATTTAATTACTATTTTAAAATTTAAAACGGTCCCAAATTATTAAGAACTATCACATTCTCTATTATTAAATAGAGTTAATTATTTTCTTATTTTTGATTAATTATCGATTACATAACGTGTTGGATCTATTTTATTTTTTATTTACTTCATATGTTATGAAATTATTGTTTCTTAATCAAATTTTTATTATACTTTATTTCATATTCAATTCAAAACTTATAATTAATTATTTACTAATTATTTATTAGAATTTTTTATGTTATACTCTTTCTTTTACTTGTCAGTTTTAAATTAATTTTCTTTTTCATTTCTAATGTTTTTTTCAATAATATATTTAAATTATAATATTGTTAGCTTATTTATAATTATTATAATAAAAAATTGAAATGAACTATTTAAATTAATTATTATTGATTAGTTTTTTTTTATAAATTATTAATTATTATAAAATAAATTGTTAAAAACCACTTGTACCCATTTTTATTATTTTCTTACAATTTAAATTTTGGTGAATTACATAATTTTTTAATTAAATAATTATAAAGTAATTATGACAAAAATGAAATATAATAATAATATTAAACAATAATTAAATTTTTAACGATTTACGAGATATTTTGTATGTAAATAAATAAATAAATAAATAAATAAACAAAAATTAATAATTGTTAATAATTATAATTAGGTACAATTACAATTATAATCATGCTAATGGTAATTGCAATTAATATAATATTGTTAGCTTAATTATAATTATAATAAAAAATTGACATTAACTAATTTAATTATTTTTTTTGCTGTTTGTATGTTAATTGTAATTGCAATTATAATTATACTAATTATAATCAATTACAATTATAATTATATTAATTATAATTAATTACAATTATACTAATTATAATCAATTACAATTATAATTATATTAATATTAATTATAATCAATTATAATTTTATTAATTATAATCAATTACAATTATAATTTCAATAATTTTAATTGCAATTATAATTACACTAATTATAATTGCAATCTTATAATATATTTTGCGTGTATTTAATTTTATAATTTAATAGAATGTGTATTTTTCGGTTTTCCAAAAAATCGGATAAAATAAAAAAAAGCCATATACATATATAAGAAAAATGAAAGTAATTAGAGTCAATTTTATTTCCATATATTAATCGAAATTTTACATTTCGTGAAATAATCTTGTAGGATCGACCCACTAACACTCATCATCAATTCGTATATATAATTAAAGAGAGAGTATATATCTTAACCTGTCACTAATGCAGTTCATCATGCGCCTTTCGCTTTTTAATTTAATTTAGTTTCTTTTTTTTTACATCTCAATTTAGTCGCTCGCTTCATTAATTCATCTCTTTGATTTCATTAAACTCACACATATTTAATTTTAGAATCTAATAAATTTTTGTAATTTATAATAATTAACACTTAACTTTTATTAATTTTCATGAATTTTTATTTAAATTTTAAATTTTCTCTTTGAAATGAAAATAAATATTTATTTACCATTTTTTATTTAGGTTTTTTAATTTTTTCAATTTAAGTTTAGAATTTAGATTTTTAATTTAAAAATTATAGAAAAAAAAATTAAATAAATTAAAATAGTTTTGTAATTTATTTATTCTATTCATATTTAGTTTCATATAATTTTTATTCATTTAGTTTAATTATTTTAATATAATTAAAAGAATTTGGAAAAGTAAATATTTTTGTTATGCAAGTCTTTAAAAATTTTATATCTAAATAAACAAGAAAATTATTTTTAGCGAGTAGAATTAAAAAATATTTTTTTTTTTTGTAATTGCTTGTCGTAAATAATTGTCGCTTTAATAGAATAATCAATTTTCATATTTTATAAAATTGAAATTAATTTTATTTTGATAGAAAAAAATTTTTAATTATATACAATGATTCAGAGTGAAAAATTGTTACTAATTTTTTCTTTTCTTTCTTTTCGGTGAAAAAAAAAATATAATTTAGGCACAGTTTTGGAGAGCAATTCTCAGCGAGAAAATGGGCGAGAGAAGTTGCTGGACAACGGGAAATTTTGGCAGCCTATGGAGGTGTTAAACTCGAAGATGTTCGCGGAATGAGAGCACCATTCCTCTCGGTAATTATATTTTTTATTTTTCTATGTTTTTCTTATTTATTTATTTATAATTTGGAAAAACAAAAAATTATTTTAACTCAGGCGGTCAATAAAGTACCCATTATTGCCCTAGGGTAATAAAGTACCCATTATTGTCCTAGGGCAATAATGTGTCCATTATTACCCTAGGTCAATAAAGTCCCCATTATTACCCTAGGGCAATAATGGTCACTTTATTGACCGCTGCTCACAGGTCAATAACAGATTCATTATAACTAGGTTCGCGACTTGTTTGAACCAGTTGCAAAACTATTTTATTAATTAGTATTTATGAAAATTAATCAATTATTATTAAAATTTTCAAAATAAAAAAATTTTTTTTCAAATCTTAATTTAAAGTTTAAATTATTTAAAAGTATGTTTATAATAATCTGATGGAATAAATATAGTTTTTTTAATATTATTCCATATAATAATTTCTCAGTTAAATTAACAAAAAAACATAACATTTATAAAAAAATATTAAATTTTGTAAAAAAAATTTTTGATAGATAAAAAATAAATTTTATAGAAAAAAAAAAAATAAATTTCAATAATAAAAATGAAAATTATGTCTTTCATTGAAAGAAAAATACATCGTTATGATATTTTATGGCGAAAAAAAAGGAATACACTTCGTTTGTGGAAAAAATTAGAAGGAAATTCTCATTAAGTGAATCCTAAATAAAAAAAAAAATGAGAGAGAAAACATTCGCGCTGCTATTTAAGTCAAGGAGGATACAATTAAAGTCTATATGGTTTATAAAAGTTATGCGATTATCTAAGAATTGTAAAAAAAAAGTTTATAACTTAGCAATAATTGAAAAATATTTTAAATTTTAGGGAAAAAAAGGAAGAAAAAATATAGTTAAATGTGAAAGAATATGGAGAGTGGGGGGAAGATGTTATTTGTAATTGTTTCGAAAGATAAATCCCGTTCAACAATTATCGTTTTTGTTATATCCACTTTATATGGTCAATTATTAGATTTGTCATTAAGAGAATAAGATTTAAAAAAATATAATAATAATAATAAGAAGAAGAAGAAAAAGAGGAAAATGAATCTCGGCAATAACCTCGTAACACTAAACGATTAAGTTACCCGCATTTAATCGTAATTTTAGAAAGAATATCAAGAATCACTTTTGAAATCTAAATGGTATAGGGATTAAATATATATGTATATATAAACACACATGAAAAGGGCAATCGTTAAAATGATCATAAACGTTCGCTTTTACGTAATGCGAAGAATTTTCTCATCATCTGCGTGCGATCCAAGAAAATCTCAATTTTATTTACATATACATGTACCTCTCAGAAACCAATTTTTTAGAATTTTGAATAAATTTATTTAAAGCATAAATAAAACTTTTCAATTTTTTAATTTTTGAAGCATGGGCAAAGAATTTCAAAGCATTGGGAGAAGAAAAAAAGGTTTTTTTTTATAGGGGCCCCAAGGTGGCCACCATTCAAAAATTCACTGAAAAATTAAAAAAATAGTCGCGCAAAAATCAATTTAAGGTAATTTTATTTGAAATGTATTGTTTTCGGCTTATAATCACAGAATCAATAGTTGTAAACTCTGTTTTTTGCTTATAAGAAGCTATTCTAAAATATTAATAAAAAAAAAAAAAAATATTGTTAAATATTTATCCTATTTTATACTTTAAAAACTAAATTATTTTATTATTCATCATAAAATTTACATTTTCCATAATATATTTTGATAAATATTACATAGTAAAAAAAATAATTTTTTTTTTTTTTTTTTTTTTTTTTTTAATCCAAAAGTGATTTTAAATAAAAACGGATGGTGCCCACCTTAGGGCCAGAACGACATTTTTCAAAAGTTATCAAAGAATTGTATAACACACAATTTTATCGACATTTATAATATTATTGTAAAAAAAAAAAAAAAAAAAAGTTTATTTGATAATTTTTCCAAATTATACTTTTTGATATAAGATTTTTTATGTAAAATAAATATATAATATTTTCCTTTAAGGTTGGTGGCAATAATATGTTCAAAATGCTCTGGGACTTGAACTTCACTTATGACTCGTCAATGCCAATATATGAGAATCGTCCTCCAAGCTGGCCATACACATTAGATTATAAACTCTTCCACGATTGTATGATACCACCTTGTCCAACAAGATCGTATCCTGGTTTATGGGAAGTTCCCATGGTAATGTGGCAGGATCTTAATGGCGGTAGATGTTCAATGGGTGACGCATGCAGCAATCCACCAACACCCGATGGCGTTTATAAAATGCTAATCAAGAATTTCGAACGTCACTATACAACCAACAGGTAAATCAAAATTTTATCTTTACTTTATTATTATTATTATTATTTTATATTTTTTATTGACCTCTAACAGAACCATAAATAAACACAACAAAGAAACGAATAAAAAAAATACATTGCGGAAAATATATTCTTTTCTGTATTGTGGCAATTTATTTTATACAGGTAACTGCTTATATGCTGTTCTTTCAGTAAATTGCCAAATGCGACACTTTCTTATATTTGTCAACTGACCAATTTTCATAAAATTTCGCAAAAGTTGATCAATATTATTTAAATAAACATTTATAAAAACATTTTTATAAAATTCATCCAAAATTTAATTATTTAAAAAAACATTTATAAAATTCATCCAAAATTCAATTATTAAAAAAAAAATTTATAAAATTCATCCAAAATTCAATTATTTTCATAAATAATAAAAATTACCACAGAAATTCAATAAATATAGAATAGAATTTTTAAAAAAATTTCGAAAAAATGAAATTACAATCAATATTATTTGAAAAAATTTTAATACAATCACAATAATTCAGTTACTTTCACTAAAAATAATATTTTTCATGGAAATTCAATTATGTAACAAAATTTTTGATAAAATACATAACCAAGAATTCAATTATTTATTTATTTATTTAACAAATTTACGGGTCAAGCCCTTTCGTACAAAGTACTCTTACAATCTAAAGGCTGCAAACCACAACCTATTTTAATCAATAATAATTAGTTAGCCTGCACTAGGCAGTAATAGAATCAAAAATTTAATGTGAACTTACGCAATGTGGAGGTAAATCTTAAATAATTATTGTCAAAAAAATCAATAACATTAGAGACAGAATTAGCCTCTCTGCCTAGTCTTGTTACAAGAGAGTGGTATCCGTAGTTTGTTCTATGGAACGATTCCACAAATAATGTGTAATTTCTAGTAACTCTAGTAGGAACAGATAAATTAAATAATGACAATAAATGTGGACAATCATTAACACCATTTATAATCTTATAGAAAAAAGTCAAATCATTAAACAGAAACCTAGATGCAATTAGTGGAGTGTTAAGTAATAGTCGTAATGAACTGTAGTCATGGGCGCATCTGTCAAATGGTATGTTAAACTGTCGCGCCACAAAACGGAGAAATCTATTTTGAATTCTTTCAAGTCTTATCACATTAAAATCATAAAAAGGCACATATATTACAGAGGCATATTCCAGCAGCGATCTCACCAAAGAGAAGAAAAGAATTCTAAGTGTATTTATATTGTGAAACATAGATGCGTTTCTAGTTATAAAACCTAGGACTCTTAATGCTTTTGAAGTTACTTCAGATATATGTCTATTAAATGAGAGATCACTGCATAGAAGAAGACCCAAGTCCCGAATACAAGTAACCCTTGTAAATTCATATTTAAATTATATATTCATAAATAATAAAAATCATCGAAGAATTTCATTAATTTTTAATACTATACTTTAAATTAATTAATCGAAAAATTCAATTATTATCACTTATAAATTTTTCCAGAAATGAAAATTCAATTATTTAAAATAAAATTTTCATAATTATTATATATCGAAATAATTAATTATTGACAACAATGTTTTATAAAATTATTCAGAAGAATTTAATTATTTTCACAAAATAACAAAATTTTTTACAGAAATTTAATTTTTTTTTAAACATTTTAATAGAAAATTTTTCGCAATAATTCAATTATTTTCAAAAATAATAAAATTCTTTTGCAGCTATTCAATTATTTTCTTAAATAATAAAATTTATAGCAGGATTTCAATTATTTATAATAGAATTTTACAGGAATTGCTTAAAAAATGTATAATGGAAAAATTCAATTATTTAAAAAAAAATGTTTTTTTTAAATTCTTCGGAAGAATTTAATTGTTTACAAAAATATTATATAATTTTGCACAGGAATTCAATTATTTTCAAATAGTTTAATAAAATTGTTCGAAAGAAATCAATTATTTTAAATAATCAATTTTTCTTTTAGATTTTTATAAAATTTTTCCTATGAATTTAATTATTTACATAAATAATTCATCGAAAGAATTCAATTATTAAAGATAAATAACAAAATTATTCCCGAAAATTCAATTATTTTGAGGCTTTTCAATAAAATTGTTTGCCAAATTCAATTATTTTCATAAATAACAATATTCATCACAAGAATTAAATTGTTTCTAAAAGTAATAAATTTCTTCCTGGAAATTCAATTAATTTTGAAAATTCTAATAAAATCGTTCGCAAAAATTCAATTATTATTTTCATAAATAAAAAATTGCTTTTTTGTCATTCAATTATTTTCAAAAAAAATTTTCAGGAATGTCTCGAAAAATGTAATTAATCTTTCAAATATTTTAAAAAATTCTAATAAAATCGTTGGCAACAATTCAATTATTTAAATAAATAATAATGCTCGACGAAAATTTAAATTTTATTTTATACTATTTTAAATTAATTGATCGAAAAATTCAATTATTTTCATAAAAAAAGTTTTCCACAAGAATTCAATTATTATTTAAAATAAAATTTCCATAATACTTGTTATATTTCGAAAAAATTAATTATGTAAACAATTTTTATAAAATTCTTATGAATAATTAAATTATTTTCAAAAATAACAACATTTTTTACAGAAATTTAATTCTTTTTAAGCATTTTAATGACATTTTCACAATAATTCAATTATTTTCATTTCATTTCATTTCATTTATTGAATAAATCCAATCATAAATAATAAAATTCTTCTCCGGAATTCAATTATTTTTTTAAATTTTGATAAAACTCTTTTCAACTATTCAATTATTTTCTCAAATAATAAAATTTATAGCAGGATTTTAATTATTTTAAATACAATTTTACAGGAATTGCTCAAAAAATGTATATTTATTCTTAAAAATTTTAATTACAATTCCTCGAAAAAATCAATTATTTAAAAAAATGTTTTTTTAAAATTCTTTGGAAGAATTCAATTATTTACAAAAATATTAGAATTTTTCACAGGAATTCAATTATTTTCAAAGATTTTAATAAAATTTTTCGAAAAAAATTAATTATTTTTAATACAATTTTTATTAAATTTTTTTTGAAATAATTCAATTATTCTTTTAGATTTTAAGAAAATTCTTTCCAAGAATTCAAATATTTACATATAATATCTTCGAAAAAATTCAATTATGTCGATGAATAAGAAAATTATTTTCGAAAATTCAATTATTTTTAAAAAAATTTAATAAAATGCTACACAGACATTTAATTATTTTCAAAAATTTTAATGGAATTGAAATTTTTTCACTACTTTTTTTAAGTTTAAAAGATACTTTTTGCTACTTTTTTAAATTTATTTATCCCAGTAAAAAAAAACTAATTCAAATGAATTGAAACGAATTAACATTTTTGGTAGGCTCCAATTCGTATTTGTCACAAAGCGGGATTCACTCAAGCTCTTTGTATATTCAATTGAATTTAATTCAATATGTACCAATTTGTCCAAACGAATTCGCATTCGAAAGAAATGGCCAAGGAATGCATTGAATTCGTGCTAACGAATTGAAAAAAATTAAAGGCTCAAAACTTGTCCAGTGAATTGGTACGGATAGAAGGTTCGGAAGTTCAATACAGTTTCACGAATTCAGGAAAATTGCATCATGGCTCCAATTCGTATTTGTCACAAAGCGGGATTCACGAAAGCTCTTTGTGAATTCTTTTTAATTCATTTCAATTAGTTTTCGTTTACTGGGATCCCAGTATGAAGTTTGCATTTGTGCAAAAACTTACTTTTTGGTTTGTATATAATTTTGAAAACTGTGACTTTTCTATCATTATATTATTAGTTCGTGGCAAATTATTTATTGCTTTAGTCACGAACTATAAAGATTTTGATAGAAATGACGCGTTTTTCAAAAAGTACAAACCAGGACAGCATATATATGCAGTTACTTGTAGCTATTTTTAAATAATTTTTCGCTAAAATACAGGTAACTGCTCATATGCTGTCCTTTCGGTTTGTATACACCTTTTTGAAAATTATAGCCTTTCTACAATAAAAGTAATTAGTTTATGATGGCAAATTTGTGTAGATAAATGTTAGCCGCACAAACCAATAAGTTTCTAAAAGAAATGCTACTGTTTGTCAAACAGGAAGGACGGCATATAAGCAGTTACCTGTACCTTTCGGTTTTTTTTTCAGTAATCGCACGTAATCGTAAACTACAAATAAAAATAAATTTATTTAAATATCCTTTCAGGGCGCCATTTGGACTTTTCTATCATGCAGCATGGTTCACACAGGCGCATCATAAAGAAGGTTTCTTATCATTCCTGGATACAATTGTCGCAATGGACGACGTTTGGGTGATAACAAATTGGCAAGCATTGCAATGGGTGAGAAATCCAACTCCCCTTGGTCTTCTCGATAATTTCGAACCATTTGGCTGCAACTATCCGGTAAGAGAAAAAATAAACTTCTTTTCTCCCCCCCCCCTCTCATATAACAGTAAATAATAAAAAAAAAAGAAATATAAAAAATAAAAAAAAACAAAATATATTTAAAGAAATATTGAATAAAATAAGACAAGAAATTGTGAAAGAATCATAAAATTTTGTATTTAATAGCACGATCGATTACTTGAGGTATTCATAACCTCTTACTGCCCCCCCCCCCTCCTTTCCTCCTTTAACTCCTTTTTATGCTCATTCTGTTTGAAATTTACAGGACAGGCCAAAGAAGTGCAATAACGCGAAGGTCTGCAATCTTTGGCACAAGAGTGGCGTTCGATATATGAAGACATGTCAGGCATGTCCGGACATTTATCCATGGACGGGAAAAACCGGAATTCGCAGCAGTCGTATCGATAATGAAATCGACACTCACGAATGAGATGAAATAATTGCCAGAAAATGAGAGAAAGAGAGAGAGAGAAAGAAAAAAAGAGAGCGAGAGAGAGAGAGAGAATAAAATAGAATGAATAAGAGAAAGAGAGAAAAATTGTAAGAGTGTTTGTGTGTGAGAAAGACAGAAAGTAAGAGACCCACTTTAAACAAGGACGAAAGATAATTGTGAACGGAACTTTAATTTTTGAGCTTCCGCACCATGAGATATCGATACATTCGATACTATGTATCGATAAATAATAAATGTTCTTTCTTTATTGACATTAGTCAATATCGATATTTTGAAAAAGATATTTTAAAAACTATTTTGAATGCATTTTTAAGAAATAAAAGAATCCATTGTAGACACACCCTTATTATCAGCTGTCCAACCCTGAAAAATTAAGAGAGCTTTCTTGACAATCGCTATTTTGAATGCACCTTTAAGAAATAAAGAGTCCATTGTAAACACAGCCGTAAGGCTAGTATTATCACGATCGCTATTTTAAACGCACCTTTAAGAAATTTTTTTTTCTCAGGCTAAGTCCACAATAAATAATAAACGATATTTGAAAATCTATTTTGAATGCACCTTCAAGAAATAAAGAGTCCATTGTAGACACAGCACCTTTAAGAAATAAAGAGTCCATTGTAGACACAGCACCTTTAAGAAATAAAGAATCACCCTTATTTTTAGCTGTCCAACTCTTAAAAATTGGGCAAACTCTCTTGACAATCGCTATTTTGAATGCACCTTTAAGAACTAAAGAGTCCATTGTAGACACAGCCTTAGACATTAAGGATGTGTCTACAATGAACTGTTATTCGTTGCCATGTTGGATGGAATGTAACGTTTCATTGCAAACATGGCCCTTTTCTCTCGTTCAAGGTGACAAAAAGAGTCCATTGTAGATTTGGCCTTACTTTTGTTAATCGAACCAAAAGCTTGTAAATTTCTTTCTGGCAACTAATAAGCATTAAAAAAAACTCCATTGTGGACTTGGCCTTACTTCATTGTAGAAGTACTTTTTATTCGTCAACTACCCAAAAGCGTCATTCCTCTTTTTCGCAAGAAGCATTTAAAAAAAAAACTCCATTGTGAACTACGCCTTATGTTTACTGTAGACAAGGCCTTATGTTACTTTTACATACAAAAATTCGCCACTAGTTTTATAATTTCTAGGTGACTGCCCAACCCTGTTACATGTTAATTTCTTTTGATTTGCAAGATTGGGTAGTCGAAAATTCCACCCACCAAGGTTGCGTAGTTAGAAATTTAGAAATTCGACAAATCGTGCTTTTTTGTCAACTGTCCAACTTTAAAAAAATTTTTTTTGCCGAACTATCCAACCTTGTTGAATGAAGAAAATATTTTAGCAAGGTTGGGTAGTTAAAAAAATGAGAATATCATATCGTACTACCCAACCCTGTTCATTCTTTTTCTTCCCTTTAAAAATACGGTTTTTTTTTTATTCGATAACAAAATTTTTCTCGAACTTTTAATAAAAATAAAAAATAAGCAAACAATTATTTTTGTCGCAAAATAAAAATTTTAATTATTGTATGAATGCGTGAGTTGTAGAAAAAAATGTCCGTTTGTTTTTAGTGGGTCTAAAGGTGGGTACACATGCCATTTTAATATTGTACCTATTCATTTTTTTGTACACATGAATTTCAGTCTCTAAAAAAATCGAGAAAATAGAGATTCTCTATTATTATTTCGAATATAATAGCAAAAAAAAATGTTTCATTTTATCGATAAAATTGTTTAGGCCGAATTTACAATTTACTTTTTAATTTCAACGAAACAAAAAAAGAGTCCATTGTAGACTTGGCCTTTATGAAAGTTCTTTTGTTTTGGAGAAAATAAAGGTTCTTCCACAATGCATGTTCTCCAACCAAAGTTGGAGTGGGGAAACGAAAAAAAGGCAGTTTTGTCGGTAAAATCAAAAATTTTTTTTTTGAAAAGGGCGCGAAATTTGAAAAATTGAAAAAAAGAGACAACAAATAAAAGAAGAGATTATGTTTTTCGAAAATAATGAAAATTCTTAGAATAATTTTATTGGCTCACACAAAAAAAGAACATATCATGTAGAAAATATAAAAATTTCATTTCGCTAAGAAAACAAAAAATTGTATTTTAATATATTTTTCTACTTTATTTTTGCAAAAAAGAAAAAAAAAATGAAAATATTTTTTTTTTCAAATATGTCATTAAGAGAATCAAAATAAGGGACAAATTATGAGAAGTTTAGGAGTTCGACTTTTGTGTCGTTAAATGACGTGAGAAAAGAAATCAGTCAGAATATTCAATTTTTTTATTTTTCAATATACATGAAAATTTTGTAATAATCGACGAATGTGAAAAGCAGAATTTTTTTTTATTTATATTTTTCATTATTTAGAAAAAAAAAGAATAACTGATTTCTTTTCAACACTGAAATAGATTGTATTAGCAATTTCAAGTTTTTTTTTTGTATTTTCGAATTTATAGATGGAAAAAAGAAGAATAATTTGTGTGACATTCTGTAGTTTTTCCTCAAATTCGAAAATTTTTGTGAAAAACTTAAAAAAAAAAATATTTATTCGCTTTTATATAAATATATAATTATAAATAAAAATATTGATGTGTGAGAGTAAGGGAAGCGTATATTTAAAAGAGAAAAAAAAATGATGAATGTATTTTGTCTCGGAGCTTTAGATCAATTTACACGATAATAATATTAATTATTATTATTATTATTATTATTATTTATAATAAATTTTTGATGCCTTTTTCTAATTATTAGTAATGTCGCGTTTGCGGCGATTTTGTGCACTAAAAATCGATATAGTGTAAGATCGATTGTTGCATAGAAGAAAAAAGAAAATGAAAAATCAAAATGCGACTATTGTCGTCATTTTTTTTTTTTGTGAACGTAACGACGTTCAGAATATTTTTATTTTTTAGAATCTAAATTTAAATTGCCTTTATTAAATAAATATTTCATTATATAGTAATTGTTGTTATTATTCCATTCTATATTTTATTTTCCCGACTTTTTCCTAATTTTCATCAAAAATCTTTACTTCTTTCTTCACCTGTTAATAAAATGAATTGCTGCAACGAATTTTATTATTCATGAAAAAATTTAAATATTTGTAAAAATAATTTAATTCTTGCAAAGAATTTTCGAAAAAGTTTTAAATAATTGATTACTTTTGACTAATTTTATGCAAATTCTAATTTAAATAATTCAATTCCTCAGAAATTTTCATTATTCATGAAAAGAATTGAATTCTTACGAAGAATGTTACAAAAAAATTTTTATATAATTAAATTCTGTTTGGTAATTTTATGAAAATAGTAGATATTGAAAATCATTTAAATGCGAAAATTTTTTTTAAATAATTGAATTTCAAAAAGAATTCTATTAAAATCTTTGAGAATAATTGAATGTCTGTGTAGCATTTTATTAATTTTTTTTTGAAAATAATTGAATTTTTAAAAAGCAAATTATTATTTATGAAAATAATTCAATTCTTGCAAACAATTTTATTAGAAATTTTTTAAATAATTGAATTTCCAAGAAAAAAATTATTATTTTTAAAAATAATTGAATTCTAGTTCTATTGAATTCTAAAATTTTATATTGTTATTTTATAAAAATAATTGAATTTTGCAAAGAATTTTATTAAAGTGCTACAAAATAATTGAATTATTGCGAAAAATTTTATTAAAATGAAGTTTCAAAAAAATTGAATTTCTGTAAAAATTGGTGTAATTTTTGAAAATAATTTAATTCTTCTTAAAAATTTAATAAACGCTGTTTTAAATAATTAATTTTTTCGAAATATAATATATATTATGAAAATTTTATTTTAAATAATGAAATTCTTCTGGAAAACTTTAATTGTGAACATTATTGATTTTTTCGTTTAATTAATTTAAAGAAGTATTTAAAATAATTGAAATTCATCGATGAGTTTTATTATTTATGAAAAAAATTGAAATTTTTCAAAAAAATTTAATCAAACATCTATTTAAAATAATTGATTTCTTTCTATTAATTTTATTAAAATATTTGAAAATAATTGAATTCCTGTAAAAAAACCATCGAAAGAATTTTATAAAAACAATTTTTTAATAATTGATTTTATCGAGAAATAAAAATTAAATTTTTGAGAATAATTTCATTTTTTGAGCACTTACTGCAAAATTGTATTAAAAATATCTAAAATTCTGAAAATATTTTTATTATTTTTAAAAATAATTGAATATCGCAAAGAATTTTATTAAAATGCCTCAAAATAATTGAATTTTCGAGAATAATTTTGAGATTTATCGACATAATTGAATTCTTTTAAATAATTATTTCTGTAAATAATTGAATTCTTGTGAAGAATTTTATTAAAATCTAAAGAATAATTGAATTCTTTGAAAGAATTTTATTAAAATCTAAAAGGATAATTGAATTATTTCAAAGAAATTTAATAAAAATTGTATTTAAAATAATTGATTACTTTCTAACAATTTGATTAAAATATTTGAAAATAATTAAATTCCTGTGAAAAATTCTAATATTTTTTCCAGTTTTTTCTAAATAATTGAGTTTTTCCAAAGAATTTAAAAAAAACATTTTTTTAAATAATTGATTTTTTCGCTGAATTGAAATTAAATTTTTAAGATTAATTACATTTATTGAGCAATTCATGTAAAATTCTATTAAAAATAATTGAAATCCTGCGATGAATTTTATTATTTATTCGAAAATAATTGAATTGTTGCTAAGAATTCTATTAAAACTTTAAAAAAAAATTGAATTCCTGAGAAGAATTTTATTATTTATGAAAATAATTGTATTATTGCGAAAAATTTTATAAAAATATTTAAAAAGAATTGAATTTCTGTGAACAATTTTGTTATTTTTGAAAATAATTGAATACTTTTGTAAGAATTTTATAAACATTGTTTTAAATAATTAATTTTCGGAATTTTGTTTTCGTTATTTTCGTAATTGAATTATTGTGAAGTATCGTATAAAAATTTTGTTAAATAATTGATTTTTTTGAAAATTCTATTCTAAATTAATTGAATTTCGT